ATAAGAGAGAAAATTGAGAATTCTATTTGTTATGATTATTTATTATTTGAAAGTTTTAAAAGATTAAATGGTCGGTCTATCGAGTGCCAAATTTGCCTATTTTACTACGACACACCAAAATACAACTTCAAGATTAATTAAACAGATATGATAAGATAGATTTGAAAGAGGGACAATATGTTTGTGTTGATTTAAGAAACAGAAAATGTTGAAACAACGAAGACAAAGTATTGGAGTAAATTTTTTTACTGCACGATAGCGTTTTGTAAGATTTTTTTTTTTGCAAGTCTTGTGTTCTGGCATTTAGTGGAGTGTTCAGGCAGAAAATAATTTAATTAAGATTATCGCCACATGCCCGATTAGCTGGGTACACAGATTATTTGTCGTGCTTTGTGCTCCACAAATGATACATGTAATTGGTACGTCATCCACAATGAAACATTTATAAAACACTAGTTCCCAAATACCCATGTTTTTATAGGGACTACATTCGACTGGAAAAATGAACGGGTTTTCCTTGCGCTCCGGTGATTTTTTGACAGCATTAGACAAAGATTAAAGGCATAATTGTATCATTGTTTTAAATCAATTTTAATTCACATTGCTTCTTGATAAGTTTGACATGTAATTGGTTACATTTCACACAAATAGATTCTTTTTGGATAATTTTTCACATTTTAAGATAGAATTCCAACTATCTGAGTTATCTTTTTAACAAAATCTACGATATGTGAAGTTTTGCAGTTAATAAATACGTCTTTAAATTCATTCTTTGCATACTTTATGATACCAAAGCCAGCTTGACATTCATTTTCCCGCGCTGACGGGGGGTTGGTTTTTTAAACCTACTGACAGGCGTAAATCAAACCTCTGATTTACATAATTGTCTTTTTTGTGTGCGTATGTCAAAAACATAAATATATGTATAAAAATATATAAAAATATTTCAGTCAATTTTTTTTCATATTGCAATTTTAGGCTGAACTAAGCGAAATAGACATTGCATCATCAGAGAGGCTTTAATAGTCGATATTCTAAAGAATTTTTTATATGTAGAAATGTATACCATTGGTTTATATTAAACAATTTCATTGTATAATTTTGAAAAAATATTCATGATAATTAAATTTTATTCGCAACACATAATTATTTAAATGAAAATACAAGTTTTGTTAAAAATAACACATACTTTTTGACAGTGTATAAAGTGGCCAGAATGAATATACATGTTCATGTATTAAATTAAAATTATTACATGTTACAAAGTTTTAATTATATGTAATTTTAACAAATCAAAACACCCGATCATATTATCAATACTAAATACTTAAAGTACTTTAATTATTTTAATTGCATAATAATTTGGGTGTTTTTTTTAAGTCATCTTTTATGTTGCTTCGTAAAATTTGCCGTACAATGACATAGTTAGTTACATTGTATGTTATGAAATATTGTTGTTATAAATACTTTTAAACCTACAGTAGTTCACTTAATTTGTATACACAACCTGTTACACATTTTGTAAATTTGTTTATATATTATTGTACACCTCATATCATATAGAGGATATTTGTTTGTTTGTGTGTACGCCACGAGTGAGAAAACTGTTTTTAAAGTTCACGAGATGAAATAAAATTACATCTTACACAACAAACAGACAAATTTTCTTTTTATTTTATGCTTAAAAACAAGTTAAAACGAAATTTCCATAATTTTAACGTTAATATTAAAATCTGTTTCCCCCATTGAGAGCCCCATTTAGACGGAATTTCTCATTTAAAACAAGAAGTATTGAGCTGAAAAATAAGTCCGCCAATCAAGGTTAAATGACGGTGATATTTATTCATTTTATTAAAAAAATATGAATGATCGCTTGTTTTAATCATAAAAACAAACAATTCTTGCAGGAGAAAATTCCAACCATCCATCCATATTTCTGTTACTTACTGCGAATTTATATTAGACCTGGCTTTCTAAAATGTAAACGGCAGCCATTTTTTAAAGTTGTGTATTTCATGGGAGGAAAATAATTGTGTAAGATTCAGAAGGATATAATTTGGATTTGTTAGTCATACACCTTTTTAAAAGAAAGAAAACTTATTTGAGGATTGTAACAGACAAAAAATAAGTGTTGACAGAAGTGAAAACATTCAGAAAAGGAGCTAGGAAAATGGAAAAATTGGAAGCTTGCTGAAGGAACGCTGGGTTGTTTTAACTTATTTTACGAGTGATGGCTGTCAATGCTTTTCAATTTTTCATAAAGCATACGGCAGTTATTGCTCGTAGGATACTTTAATATGCCCAAATGTCATCAAGAGCCCGTTTTGCATGGGGAAGGAATGTATTTTTCAGACTGTAAAAACGAAACAAAAAAAATTTAGAGACAAAATTTGGTGATTGGAATTTGAAGGAATAGAAGTAAGTTTTCTCTCTGTGTTACTTTTGACATTTAAGTTATTTATATATTTCAGCTTTGCTATTTCTTTTAACAGCCTGACATTGTCAGAATTGTCGGTAAAAATAAAATTGAGGTACCACATGGGGAAAATCTTAAAAAAGTAGTTTCGTCATTGAAAAAAGTGAAATTATATTTTGATAATTTTCACTGTGAAATTATCAAATATAATTTTCACGGATAAATCAGTAATCCACTGAAAAGCATAAAATAAATGTAAATATGTTGAGTGTATCAATAAAACTTGAAACTTGTACAAGTAGAAAATGAGAGAATCTTCAGACATTAATCTTTCTTTTTTTATTGTTTTTGATACAGGAGTCTTATTCAATCTGACATAGAGTAATAACTCATAATTCTTTCCTTTTGTTGTAATTTGGGTGAATAAGAGTGTGGCGGATTATTACCGACATCTTGTACGTAGATAACACTCCAAGAATGTTATAACACTTTATGTGTACGAGGAAACTAATTCTTTACCCACTTGTATGAAGGAATGTTAATATTACATATGTATATTACCTTTTTTTCATACTGTATTAGCTTTGACTTTATATATTTCTGCCCCTTGTGGCTGAGGGGGTGCCTTTACAAGTTGAGGCATCAGAATGGCAGCCATATTTTAACACTGCTTGATTGTAAAAGGTGACTAAATTGGTCTGAATTATTGGATGTATGCATTTCTTAGCTCCAGTAGGTGAGGTCGCTTTGACCCCTGGTGTTGTGTAAAGTTTGTAACTGATTAGCCAAAATCATCATATGACATAATCTGTGTTAGTTCGCCGTAAAGCCAAAAAAAGAAAAAAATCCTTTATATATTCTCATATTTGTTTCTCCGCCATTCGATCATTTGCATATGCTTATTTTAAACTGTTGCAAGGTCTATCACGTTCTCTTGTTGTTTGTTTGATTGATGTGCGGGAATTTACACAAGTTATAGTTAACTGATTCGCTAATAACGATTTATATGAATTCCTGTCAATACATTTTTTTCTCATTACAAAAATACCATAGTTATGATTTATTGACCTCCCAATTGCTTTACACCGATTCTCATCGGTGTTTCAGTTAAGCGTATCTTTCACATATTGTATATCTAACTGCTATTCAACTATCAGTTCTTGTAATAAAACCAAAAAACTTTCACCACTATTTCAGCAGTATGGATGTTTTAAAAAAAAGTGTAAATCATTTACGTTTTTCAACATTCACCCCTCAAACTCGATTATTCTAAATGAATTTACTGGAAATGCAATGACGCCAACACTGTACTTAGTGTATGATGAAAAAAACAAAACAAAACAAAACAAATAATAATGCTTATAAAAGAAAAAAAAATTAAAATAAAAAAATAAAATATCCCCAGCAGATTTGAGGCAATTTCCTTGATTCCATGACCTAAGCAGGATTTCGATTACCCAATTCAGTAAATGACTAAATGTCCACAGGTTAATGTTCATATTGACAAGGTTACCCTTGTTTTCTGCTTCGTAATGGGAGAGAACCCTCGTACATTATCAAATATCTACTGACATTTAACAATAGAACGGTGATTTATGTTTACTTGTCGAGAACCTACTTATCACTCCCGCCGCGAGAATGTAAAATTGCTCGCTTATATTGTCCAGTTTTTGTCCACCAGAGTCCACTACAGGTGGTCACAGGGTCACCGCCGTCGCATAGACGTAAACAGTTAATTAGCGTCAACTGTTATAGCGGACATTGTAGTGGCCTCTGAATGATAATTTCATGTCATTAAATAGTTGATCATTTTACGTTCACATCACTATACAGCCTCTAACTCTTAATCATTTTACACATGGAAGACTAAAATATACAGAGGTCTTGGTTGATACAAACTCATCCCTAAACTAATCTTTGATACAATATATACTTATGTGGAAACCGTACAATTTAATTCATCATCAAAATTCCGAAAAGATTGCAAAAATGTTTCTTATTTTAGATTTAGACCTACCTTCAACTACTATGAATGGGAAATTCGCAGGGTTTGTCATTTTAAAGTCGTGCTTTGACCGGTCAATATCTGGCGTAACTATTGTTACATTTATAGAAAGTTCGTCTCATTTTGTACTTAAGCGTCCAAATAAACACCTTTGTATACGAAAACAGCATCAAAAAGAGAAATGCATTTTAACGATGACAGTATATAGATACAAAGATAGACATTCATTTAAATAGATAACTTTATACCTTATATATCTTAAAATAATCATGAGTAAGCAAACACGTATAAAAAAGATAAATAATTATACATAAATCTATAATAAAACTCAGTTTTCCTTTTCAATATATATTTCAACATCACATATTCATTAAAAGATAAACACAATTATTGACATATCAATATGACAGTAGGTAGATTTCAATTAAGATTTTACCATGATCCCCCCTAAACTCTCTAATCTTGCCGCAATATTCGTTAAAACTACATTATAACCAATTAAACCGCTTCAAATGTTAGTTCACGAGTTTGACACATCATCTCTATTTTTCTTAATATCAATTATATCTATATTTTCAGAGATTTGAGCTTTAACAAGATCAAAAGAATTAGCCGAAGGACGCTAAAAGGCTCAAAAGTATTAAAGAATTTGTAAGTATCTTTTCAGTGATTACTTATACATACATGTGTATTATATATATCAGGAAAGTTGTACATGTACATCATATTTAAGAAAGTTTCATATCTTAACCTCGGAATGAAAAAGCCATGTTTAAAAATTGGTATTGCCCATTGTCCACCTAGGTGTATCAATATTGATAATATATAGATAAATTATACAATTTTCGAGTGCCATTCACCTTGTTCATGTACAATCGTTGACATATATGATTATTGTGGTTAAAGATATATTTAAAGTGGACGCCGGTATTGGCCTTGAAGGTTATTTTAACTGTACAAATGTTTAACGTTCATGAAAATTGTATTCACATTAAGTCAATGAGTGAAAGTGTAAATGACAGTTAAGCACAGCTTTATGAATATATACATGTATTTTACATATACATATAATCGTACACTGATTGTATAATGCTTTGGTTTTAAAATATGTACATAATTATTTGTGTATATATGTTTCTTAAATAAATCCTGTTATATTTTAAATTCTTTTCTGTTATAAAAGTGTACTAAAATCACTCAGCACATATTATAAATATAATTTATTACATCACAAACAGGTGTTTAAAGACACAACTTGTCAGCAAAACGTCTTACTTAAATGTATTTTAATAACACTATTTTTGGTACAAGACGAGGCGTCACTCAAAATAATTGACGAGGCATATGAGTAAAATATGCCATCATTTTCAGGCATATGTAATATACATTATATATATTATAATAATAATTTGTACAATATTTGCTTGACAACAAATAAACGTCATGATGACATGTTTCTAAATGACTTGACACCGTGTCATATATAGTTAATGGGCTATTAATAGTTTTTCCATGTCCATTTAGAAGGTTTTTGATTAAGTGAATGACGTAAGAAATGATGTAGTAATTATTAAAAAAGCAATTTTTGTTACCTTAAAAAAATAGCATCTGGACATTTGTATGAGGTTGTGTCTCAATTCAAGCTTATATGCTCTACTTTGGCAACACTCATAGCGTTATGTGAAATGACGTGTCATTCTTATGAAAAGAATGAATCAAAGCAATATCATATATACTATACATATACGCTAGAATAAGGCACGACAACTACTATACTTTGAACTAATTTATAATAAGTAAAAGAAACCTAGGCTTTTACATTGCGATAGACTTTATGATTGCCCATGCGGAATTTTTGAAGAGAAAAAATGTCTTACCGGAAATGACGCATGTTCCATCTAAGATTTAGCTTAAAAAATGATGACTGAGCATTTGCTTTAATGTTTTGATCTTCAAACTAATATTAATGTATACTCGATCTTGTAGTATCGAAATTATTAAGATTTGTTTGATATACCAAGGTAAATAACCGTATTATTTTAATACGGTTTCTGATAGAAGTTAATTACATTATTTTAAAACGGAAGGCCCTGTTTTGATACTTAAAGGATATATTCATTAAAAGGGAAATCTTTTGAACATTCAAGTTGTATTTTCATGCTTTCGAATAGGCGCTGTAGACGAGAAATTAAGGAAGTCTTGTTTAAAATGTATAATATCAAATGTTCATATGAATGAAACACTTTGAAGACGTGGAACACTTTGAAGCACGGGATGCAAATTGCATCACAAAATATTGAAAGAAATAAGCAAAACTCTTAAAAGTAGGGAAAACTTGTTAAATTTACGATCAATCTTGATTGCCAGCCGAAAGTCTTGGCGAAAATTTAGCATAACATTTAAAGGGTAGGCCGAACTTGAAAGAATTTCGAAATTACGTTTGGGAACTTGATTCTGATAAGGGGAGATAAGCAAAATGTGCAAGGTCAAAAGTCAGACGATTTAAATTAAGTACTTAAGATGTACTTAAAAAGAGGTTAACTCAGAAAATGTGTTTATGACGGAAATAAGATGGCCTCTTTGGAGAGATGTAAGAAAAGAATAAAAGAGTCACCGGAATGGAAGTTAAATTGTTAAATACTTGGAATAGTGTCAAATGTTTTTACCTATGCATGAAGATGATAACGTCCAAGTTAGATTTTCAATGAGAATGGTATCAAGAGAAACGTTCACGTGTCATGAAAAACTCGTGCAGTTGTACTGGTGTTTTAGTGCGATATGGTTAGACGTATGTCCGGGTGCTTCGTGGTCAGACTAATTGACGACATATACTGATAAAACACACTCTGGACGTAGGCGATATAGAAAGAAAAAAGAAAAACAGATTCGACTTTGCATTACAAATGCAATATAATAGAAAAGCGAGACATTACATTAACATTGTAACACGTTTTCTGGTATATTATCAAAACGCTAGAGTGAAGTCTCCTTGACAACAAAATATCTTTTAAGTCACATCAAAATAAATGGTTGTCTTATATGCGATTTCGAATAGAGTACACGTACTTATTAATTATCAAATGTGTCTATATAAATACCAAAAAACCCTGGTTTGCCGGTGGTCTGTAAGCCACACCTATAAATCAAATAGGACAATCTGTTAATCTGTATGGGAAAAAAATGGTTTACATAATTTCAATTTTTTCAAAAACACTTTGATACATATTTCGAATATCTCAATAAACAGAACCCCATTGCTTTAAATTCACCCTTAAATACAGTCATTCAAAGTTTTCAATGGCTAAAAATTATTCATTTGTCAAGTAGATAGTAATCTTGAAATTTGAAAATCATTAAAGTGGTTAAGGAGGTTTTTGCTTTCTTCTTTCCTATTGTTATAGTATATCTAATCTTTAACTAATGAGCCTCCTAGAGCACGCCTCTATAAATGTGTGATATCTGACCTGAGAGAAGACTTACCCTTTAAACACCGCAAAAAAAACCCCAAAGAACTTTTTCTTAAAAAAAAAATCGAAAATATTCAATTAAATGATCATCCTTCGTTATTGTCAAATTTTCTTTTATTTGTCAGATAATGACGGTTCAATGTATTTATCAATGAAGAATCCACTCTTTTTTATATTAAGGTTTGAATAAGAAAGAATTTTTATATTGAAATGCTTGACACCATTTCTTGTTTAAATATCAAATTTTTAAATGTATGAAGAAATTTGATTTATATCTGATCAAAAGTAATTGTACTTTTTTACTAAATAATTGTTAATAATAATGCTTTTTGGTATGTGGTAATGTTAAACTAACAAAGTTTAAGTTCTTAGTGATTTAATAAGAATAGAAATTGACGAAAATGAAATGTTAGATATTTTGAGATATTACCACTATTCTTGTTAATATAAGCATGTCACAATTTTACGTACATACCACACCCGTATACACTGTTTGTGCTTATCCACATTGTTTTTGGTATGTCTTTCTTCTTTTATGCTTTGGCACCCAAACTTATCTACAATTTCACCTAATGAATAAGTGCAAGGAATGATGCTCTTTCGTTTTTGACCACCATTATATTTTAAGTCATAAGTTACGAATGATTTCAATTCTGTCCAAACCTCGAGTATACCGATGCAATAAGTTTGTATTCTTACACCATGAAAATATATTGAAATTAAAGTATAACTTTTATCATAATTGATATACAGACATAATATCAAAGTTGTGTTTGAAAATTGCAGGCAACTGGATCATAATGAAATATCTTGTATATCAGAGGGCACAATCTCCGAACTTCACGAGATGATTTACTTGTAAGTGTTATTTTATCTTTAAAAACTGAAAAAGATACCTTGATTAATGTCATGCATATTCATCTTAAAATATGATCGATAACATTTGATTATATATCGTGAACAGTCCGTATACTTTTGACTCTTTCCGTAATTTTCGGAACTTTCCGTGTCTTATAAAGATCAGATGAGCGTCTGTGTCAATCGCAACTACTCGGCCCTTTCCGTCAGTCTTCGGATAAGGACCTCGAACACAATAGTATGAATACACAGAACGGATGCGGTATTCCGGTCTAACCTACGCTAAGAAACTAAACATGTAAACAAATAGTAATTTAATGATAGGAGTTGTTGACACGTTTATTTCCAATATATGTAGTAAAAGTCCACCTAAAATAAGTGAATTCATAGGTACAAAAGCAAACAATACATTATTTATATATTTACTAATATGGCTGTAGAAACCGAAAGTACAAAAAACCAACCTGTTGACATTTGGTCGGATTTATTTAAAATTTAATATCAGTGGGCATATTTAAATTACAAATTGTTGCCAGACATATTTTCAAGCATATGAGTACCGGAACAGACATTAGATGTCAAATATATACATTCGTTTTACATTATCTCTGTTTCTGTTTACATCTGTAAACCACGTGGTAGAACTACTTTCAATCCGTATTGTTTCCGAGGTCAATATTGTAGATAATGGCCGAGGCAGTTCCGAATGCGTCTGTGTGACTAAGAAAACTTTAATAATCTATGTCGTCTGATTGGCTCTTTAATTGGATACCAAATACGGAGTGCCGAAGTTGGCCGGAAAAATACGAGCTGTGAGGCATTGGGAGTCTGAATCTGCAATAATTATAATTATATAATTAAATACGTGGGCGTGTTTGTGTAATGTTTTGCCGTTGTTGGGTTTTTGTTGCTTGTAAAGTTTAGATACAGAAAAAAAAAACTTTATACTAAAAACGGAATGACATAAAATTTGACTGATTACAAATTTCATTATCGCAACATACCTTAAGTGTTTTACAAATAAAATGTTAGTGTAAATGAAATATTTTTATATGATGTATGGTATTTAGCATTAAATGACACAGTGGTATTTGAAATGTAAAACTTGAATATTGTTAACTTTTATATGCCTATTACAATCTGTTGTTGTTTTATTTTTCAGAACTTTGAACAACAACAACCTCACTACATTACCCGAAAATATATTTACCGGAATGACTCGTTTAAAAGTTTTGTAAGTACAGTAAGATAATGAGCATTTTTAGTGTTTGTGATTTAATCATATCTAGCCCTTACAACCCAAAGTCTATGAAACGTAAGTGCCCTGTTTTGATTTTGCTATATAAATTTGCAGTATAAATATCAAGAGTTTTAAAGTTAGAGAACTTGAAATTGTTCATCACAATCAAGCAATCGCTCGTTTTATTAATAATAAATGTTTTGTTTTAGATGGGGAGGGGCGTAGTTTCATTTGTTCTTCTTCTTTTTTCATCGATTATTACTATTATTATTATTAGTTCTGTCCCATTTTACATACATCAGCACAGACCAGTTCCAATTTTAAGGTCATTGCCCTTACTGCACTCCAATTTCAGCATTAAATTTGTATACTCTATAAATATTATTTGTCGTATATAAGTATATAGTTTAATAACAAATGGCTTATCAGCAGGATAATGACCCAGTATATAATCCCAGGCCTAGTATATAATTCTTAACCCAGTACTTACTAAAATGATGCGGCGACTTTTCCTTTTGATCTAGTGAAGAAAAAAGAACGCGGAAAATGTTACAAGATAGAAAATTCTTAATTAAAGCCATAGAATTCAGGATTGTATTTCCCGTATGGAATTAATATAAATAGTTGGCATATATAAATATATATAAATAAAAGAACTAAGGCAGGAATTTCCTATCCACATATTAAACATATTATGATATAAATTATAGATAATCATCTAGGGATATGACATTGTTAATATTATTAATAAAACGATTTTGTTCCACTATCAGGTCAGCCAATCATTGCTTGAAGCGGCAATCACATTTTTGTTAAGGTCGCATACAACCAAATAATATCAGGGAAAATAAGGCATTACGCCACTAATTTTTTCAATGTGTGTTCTTATTTATACTACTGACAGTTTAAAGTGATTTTATATCCGTAATGTCCTTGAAAGAAAACTTTATGCATATGTTATTCTTTCCACATGGCCATATATATATCTAACCTTTTCCTTATTGAGTGTTTCAAGAATAAAATGTTACCTTGTCATTAACGCGTATGTTGTTTCTTAGTAAATAAATACTGTTGGAAAAAGGCGTAAAATGAAACAAACAAACAAAACTAAGTAAATAAAAGAAAATAATTCTGATAAAATCTTACAAAATGCAGTCAATTTTGCATGGTTATGTTTTGTTGTACTTTGTTGATAAACGCTTAAGCACTTTATTTATTTTTTGCATTAAATCACATTAATTGCTTTATTTATGTGTTTAATTATGACGTTTTATTGTGACGTTTTCAGGAGATTACGTGAGAACAAATTTTATTGTGATTGTCATCTGTCCTGGCTCTCAAGATGGCTGCGACCTAGAAAACGGTTAGCTAAACATTTCACGTGCTTCGCACCAGTAAACTTCCGGGGAAAACTTTTCAGCAGGATTCAAGACCAAGATCTCAAATGCAACGGTTCGTTTTTATTTGCCTTTATGAAGAACTTTGAGTTTGCTTGCATTTTAGTAATTTCTTGCATCGCACTAATGGAAAACACGATTGCCTTTTTTTCAGAAATTACTTCTTTGAATTTTGAGAGAAGCATTTTTATTTTATGAAATTAAAAATGTCTCTTTCTAAAGCAAAGATAATGAGAGAATATGTCTTCTTAATTCAATAACTTGAAAACGCATCTTGAAAGTCATTACGTAATTTTGTTAGAAGAAATTTCAGCTTGTTTAATTAAGTAGAAGATAGAACTTAACTTATAGACAAGTTCATTTATATTTTGTGATATTCTCCATTTTACACAGACGTAGATTCAGCATCATCTCAATGTGAAGAAGAATCTATTTGCCCCGAGGAATGCACGTGCACCGGTTCGTTTGTCGACTGCAGAGACCGAGGTTTGACGGAAATACCCGAAGTTCTTCCTATAGATGCAACGGAATTGTAAGAGCATTATATCCTAGCAATTAATTTTATTTAAAGAACATTGTTGTTGTAGATAGAAATATACGAATATAAATCTTTTTTTTTTCTTTCTCAATTTGGTTCACTAACAACTGATAAATCGGAAATACAATAGATAATATTGTTTGCTTTTCATGCCAATTACTGCACCTTTTGTAAAAGAGAGATTGTAAAAGAGAGATTGTAAAAGAGAGTTGCACCGACGTAATAACTTCAAAATCATTAGCCATCTGTAAAGGAGGCTGTAATTAAATTCTGCAATAACAATCAATTAAAATGATTTGCGCGTGTTAAAACAGTCTAAATGTTGGTTGTTTTTTCCGGATGTATCAAATGAAATAAGTATACGATATTATCACCACGCCCCTTTTCTTGAATGTATTACCTGAACGCATGGTCAGAACTTTTATGTGATTTTTTTTATTCACACGCGATTATGGTATGAGACTCTAGTGTAAGTTCAGAGACACACTTAGTACTAGTAAAAAGTACATACATATTCAATATTTCAAAATTTACAACTTCGTTTTTACTGAATTTATATAGCTATTCCTTCATCTGTAGGTTTATTCAATTTCATTCATCGAGTAAGCCATATATTCGAATTAACCGTACAATTTTGAAATTGATATTACTGTTTCAAATTTTTGTTGCCATGTTCTCAAAGATTTCAAAGGAAGTCTTTAAATGAGTTACGCTGTTGCATAATTACCGTGATAAATTTAACTGTTGTTGATTTAAAATCAGAACATCCGAACTTTGTTTATTTTTTTCTCCGAACCAGCTGCACCCTGTTACTACTCAACAATTATCAGTGCAGCGTGCTAATATACATTCATGAGAATCACACGGTTCACATTGTATAGGGTATAAAATTAATATATTCTGATAACATTTGACGGCTTACGGCCTGGGATAAATCATAATATGTTTAATATAAATGATAAACGAATTATCCTAAAATGACCTTTTCATAAAAATGATACGGGCTACCGATTAAAAGATGATTTATGACCGCTATCAGAGATAATTTGAGATAAAAAGGCTGGTCAGTACACTAAGTGGTTTTTGAAACAAAATGAGCGCTGGTCCTATTGTTCATTAAACCCATCAAAGCATTTTTTTGATATATTAGATAGTTCATGTAAATGAATAGTTTGACATGTGGCATATCGCAGCCTGATCCATCAACATCTTCTCGTGAAATGTTATACACGTGTCAAGTTCTTACAATAACCGATAATAGTTTTATAGATACATGGTACTTTTCTTCACTTGTAAGTGTCCGAAATTGTGTGACCGAACAACGTAAACAGGTGAAAATACGAGAAAATCGTGCAATAAACATCTAATTTAACCTAAACCAGGAAATGTCACTTTTGATTTGTAATTGGCAAAATATTTTATTGATTCTTTAATTCATTTCTTCTTCCATACATACATTGTTGCAGGCATGCAGGTTATTTACAAAGGGAAATACATACATAAAATTAAGAGCTATTTATTTATTTATCTATTTATTTAATTAACCGTATTTTGGATATTGTTCTAGTCATTTTAGTAAGAACTAAAGTAGGTTAGATCTGTAGATGTGAAAACAAAACATTTTTATATAGTAATCTGGGAAAAATCCGATGCTCTCCGATTTAAAGTCCTCATGTATACAATAAACATAATTAAATGGCAAAACAATGCTGTTTTTCTGCCGCGGGACACTATTCCTGAGACGAACATTATTTTCAATCGCTAGATAGTCCGCCATTTAAACTCCTGTGGGAAATACACTCAGAATGTACCATGTTGGGGGACTAATAGGCAGAATATAATAATCTATTTCCTTATCAGCCGTGTTGATTAATCGGTGAATTCTAGATGAAAAATGGTGTTGCCGGCTCTATCTGATATCATCGCAATATGACAGTTCATCCATCAAAATATTCTCATATATACAGGGAGTGTGCTTGTAGCCTTTTTATGCGCAATTATTTTTGCACCCAAAATAAAAAAGAGAAGGTGTGTTATAACTTATTATGATAAATCTTAATTTGGTCTGTCGTATTTAATTTTACGACATTTCTAGCATAAAGCAATCTATTTTTTTTTTCGTGTGGTTTAGTTTCCCTACAGCTATCTTCAAGTTTCAATTTCCATTTTTTAAGTTCTACTATTTATTCATGACGTCGTATTTGAAATTCTTATAGAATATGATAATGTCACCTTAATTAATATTGATGAAAATCTAGGTGCGGTGATCAAACCACTACAATAGAGTGTATTGAATATAAAATATATTATTATTAACTATTAAGAAATTGAACTATATTTTGTTGCAGGCGGATAGAACAAAACAAGATAACCAGAATACGAGCCGGAAGTTTTGAAAACATGCACAGGCTTAGAAGAATGTAAGCAAATAATAAATTAATTCTCGTTCGTTTAAGTATCCAGATACGTGTAGAAGATGTATCTGTGAAAACTTTTGATAAAGTCAATAAAGTATCCAATAAAATATGGAAAAAGTAACGTTTATAATTCTAAGTAATGAACACAGTTATGCAATTTAAACATGAATTTTATTGTATTTATTGAACCTTATGACCATAAAAGCGATTAATGGCATGGTTGCAACAATATGGAGAACATACCGTTTACATATATCAGACACATTCTTTAGAAAACATGATTTCTGTTTAGTACATGTCTTAGTGACTTTGAACTCAGATTGTGATTAGGTTACCAACCACTTTCATTGGTTATTACTGGTTAGGTATCCAGGAAAGTCATTTAGGTGGATCGAACCAAAGAAGTGGAAAAAAATCGGCGTAAAAACAGAAAAAACAACAACAAGCAAACCAACTTTTAAAATAGTATAAATTAATATTTGGTACATAATATTATGCGTGAATGTGTTTTATCATTTACTTTTTTCATCTTTAAAGGACCTTTGACCTTTGACCATTGACCTTGACCTATGACACATCTCTGCGCATTGGTAATCTAAATTATCCTCTGTCATTTTCTTTACTCTCTGTTTTGCAGTTTATTGACGCACATAAACTTCTTTATACCATGAATTTTTCACTAAATGGTGTCTGTTTAAATGGATGATACTTATAAAAATTCCAGACTCATTTTCCCCTTGTGTACTCAATTTCTTCGCTACAAGAGCAGCAGTTAGAATGAAATTCTAAATTGACATATTGGGAAATGAAGCCTTACTTAACTCAATAGATTCTGGCAAATTGGCCACAAAAATGTCATTTCGAAAAGCTTTATCCTCAAAAAGAGGCGCGCCTAATAGAATCAACTTGATTCAATGCGCAAATAATCAAATCAACTTTGTCATGGGCAAATTTCTTATCTTCCAAGTGGATAAATGCTTGTCGGAACGAAAAAAATCGTTCATCAGCAAAATCTTGAAATGGACAATGCCCAGTTATAGTGTTTCAGACGTAAATTTAGTTGTCTTTCCAAAGTCTCGAATTCAAATTTAAAGCCATTGTTATATTAAAAGAACATAAAAAGCGCATATCTGTAATTTCTAATTGATTAGATATAACAAAAAGTTATAGACATTTTACTAAAGAGAGTGTATTCTCTATAATACAAATATAGTTCTCGATTGGGATTTCTTTTGAATAGAAACTTATTCGTATTTGATAATGAAGGAAACTTTGAATTGAGAATTATATGATTTAAAAGAACAGTTACATGTATTGATATATTGTGAATAGCTATAATTAAGGCTTCTGAACAGCAAAATGAATACCAATTTCTTAGATAATCTTTATATTTCCGAGTACACGCATATACATATACATACTAGATTTACGACTTTACCACATATAATTACCTCTGAATTACCTGTATCCATATTAATTACCTATAATTACTGCCATAATGTTTTGAGTGTTTTCATTTTTCTTTTCAGTGATATAAGTAATAATGAAATCGTGGTTATAGATTCTGAAGCATTTGCAGGCCTTTCATCTTTAAATACGTTGTAAGTACTTGTATAGATCTAGTTTATGTTCTCTCATTTATACACCAACTAGAATATTTTATCTTTCTTCCGGGCGAATAATTATTGGGATTGATATTGCCATATGACTCAATGGAGTCATTTCATACTCTAAACTTATGAATTTATGTCCCTGACTCGTTTCCGTACTTTTTCCTATCATTTAAAATCCAACGAATTATAAATACATTGTGTCATTAATTGCTGTTAATTCTTCAACAAAACAAGTTGTGTTTTCAATAGCAAGATGTACTTAAACTTTGCCGAACAACACTTCGCTGATATAGATATATACATGTTTTTTGTGTTTCTTTCTTGATAATAATGTTGTTGTTTTTTGTTGTTGTTTTAGGGTTATCTATGGAAATAAGATAACAGAACTTCCACTAGGTGTATTTGACGGCTTATCTTCTCTGCAGCTTTTGTAAGTAACGTAAATAACTCTGTAACGTATGTTACCATATACTAAAATAATATTGTATTCATATACTAGATTTGAGTTATATGCGTGTAATAATATGATTTTCAATTAATTATTACCATGAATTTCTTTGTGAACACTGATGAACGAACATTGATAAAAATAACTTTTTGATACCCCTCCCCAACAACAACAACAATAGTTTTGATGGGCTTTACAGAAGATGGCCATTTTGCTATATTAATTCTAACCTTCTATAACACTACATACTTTATTCATTTCTTGTTGTATTTTTTCCTCCAGATTATTAAATAGAAACAGAATCTCGTGTGTACCTGTAGAAACATTCAAAGATTTGACAAGCCTTAATTTGCTGTAAGTAAAACCTTTTCTTATAACATAAAAAGTTATTTGAATTTTAACATATGACTTTTAGCTTGATTGTGTAGAAAGTTTTGACCCTATCAGAACCTCTCGCCGTGTCCGCTTCTGGGATTTCAGATCATTCGCTCTCCCTGTTTTTGCCAGAATAGTTATTCTCATTGTGAAAAAATGGCAAAAAAAATTGCAAAGCATTGCTCAAATCGAGCTAAGAAAAACACAATTTTTAGTTTATTTCCAAGTTTATTTTTCATGTTGTCTTTGTATATCTTTTTGTTTAAATACCCCCATTTTAATTATGTACGAACTTCAAATTTTATGTTTGTTAGGCTTTTGGACCTTGGTGAAGTTTCTTTAAGTTAGAAGGTAGACACTTTAAATATCAGGTCACCACTATGAAATTTCAACATGTATAATTTATATATAAAAGGCTTTCATGATATGGATTAGCTATTTTCTCAATGTGCCATATTATATTTACATCTTTGGATTTATTAACCAGTTTCAGGAGAATTACATCTTTGGGTTGATTAACTCGTTTCATGCGAAAATGAAGAGTACTGATCTAAATAAGTTACCGAATTAATGAGATACATTTGAATAAATTTCAACAATCAGCATAAACTCTAATTTTTTTAACATTTAGATTTTGTTTCGCATATTTCCGCGTTGTAAAACTCGGTATGTTTAGACAAGAAATACACATGAACGTAAGAAAGTGTAAATGGTTTCTATAACTGTTTACATCTTTATTTACTTTCGTAGAAAAACCTGCACATAGAATCCGTTGAGTGATGTTACAATGTTTATTATTTGACATATTCTTGGTGTTTTTTCACAGCGTTTTTAAATAAACAATTTCCAGATGTTCCTAGCGCCGCGGCCTCTCTTTCATAGCGCTTGTTTTAATTTGAAACGTTTCTAGAATTACTATCTGCAGAGAACATCGGGAATTATGTTACCAAATACCAAGAAAATTTCTTTGCTTTCCAACGATAGAACCTGAACCCAGACACCTGCAATAATCAAAAGCTCGGAGTGTTTTTAAACATATTTTCAATTTTAAAGTGATAAAATAAAATCATAAACTTAAAGACCTTTCAGTCCTTCTCAATAATAAAAGCAATCGTAAATATACTGAAGAAAGAAAACCTGATAAGAGGCAGGAATGTTGCCAAGATATGCCAATGAAAATATCAACATATTTGTAATCGTAAAAAACTTTTCATTCAATAGACAGCGGTGATAATTTTGATTTTTGCAGAAAGGTTCGAGGAAGCATGTCAATTGAAAAATTATCTTCTCAATGTTTTAAAAGTTACAGTGATTACACCCAATCTTCATAGGTTTCATTTAATGGACGACATTCCTTAAATTATTAAAGGGGCATGCCCAATTTTTAATTTTGAATTATCGATTAAATCAATATTAATTAATAAGATGTTCGATATTATAAGCAACCAATGTGGATCAGGTCCGTGGTGTAGTGGCAACGCGCTGGACTAGTAATTCATGGGTCGTAGGTTGAAACACCCCTTCCCCCATTAACAGTATCAAACTCGAGGTCACGCGCACCTGTCTTCTAAACTACATATTATGGAAGAGGACAACATTACTATTGTATCTAATCACTACCCCAAAAATAACCACGCCTCTTCGGGGGCGTTGCAAATACGGGCAACCAAAAAATTTGTCAGTAAATAAACAAAACGAAAAAAAAATAAATAAACAATCAAAGAATAGTATTTACAGATATTATTGTCGCTGTGTCTCAAAAGGTTATGCAGTTGACAAAAAAATATATCAGATTTTAGTATTGACAAATTGAATGGAATTTATTAAAATACAGTTCCGTTTTTATCTGACCATGGTATACGAAAGTAGGAAATGGTTTGAACAATTGTACGATATGAATAATGTGTGTAAACAATACTATAAGGGTTGGTGGAGTGGTATGTACTAGCAATTAGAAACAATAGTGGGCGGAGAACACTTACTTTGTAGTTAAACAATGGTATTGATGATGCATTTGTAAAAAATTAGGTTACAGTCCTGTTCAAAAATATCACTTAAATATTTGTTGCTGTTTTTTTTAAAGATTCCTCAGTCTTTGATTTAAAGTGTATATGCCTGCATCATCATCATCATCGATATAATTATAATTATCATCATCATCATCATCATCACAATTATCATCATCATCACAATTATCATCATCATCACAATTATCATCATCAACATCATCATCATCATTATCTTTTTTTTTCGAATTCCTATTATACGCCCCTTTTCTTCTTTATTGTTTCTTTATTGTTTTATTTTCAGTACCATATTGTAAGATTCATTCTTTTTTGTTCAAATCTTTATTCTTTTTTAATCTATATGATGTACATTTTCTTTTTCTTTTTCAGGTCTTTATATGACAACAAAATAGAATCACTGGCAAACGATACATTCTCCCCACTGGTTAATTTACAGACACTGTAAGTTTAATCTTCAGCTAATTGCTAGAAATGAAAGTAAGGGAAATAACTCTTACACTACTTTTCATAAAAGTTTTTCTTAGTTGATTCAAATTTTCTTTCATCATTATATAGCGGTATCACTTCAACTTTTATTTGATCACATTTGTATCATGCCTTAAAGTAAAGAAACGTGGTTTTTAATTTTTATTTATTTTTTTAAATTTTTTGTTAATACAGACAGTTAATAATCATCGTAATCGTGCCTATCTCTTAAGGATGAGAGTTAGCATTTTTTTATATTTAATTACCTGACGTTTTAACAAGGATTCTTTTAGCATGTATTGTAGACTTAATGCTACATGATAAGCATCACCTTTTCGTTGAAAAAACAACATTTTGTTACCGCTACGCCCTCGTGATATAATTCCTCGCATCCGAACTCCAATCAGTGATGTTATTGAGCGACAAAATCACTGTTTGGGATATATTATTTCTTAAGTAACGTTATATTGTGCCTTAGAAACAAATAAATTTTCCCTCCTTAGGAAGGACATATATGTATATGAGTTTAATAACGTTTGAATAATGATTTTAGAGTATATTAAATGTTTATCACCTGTAGAAAGTAGCGCCAAAAAGTGAAATTATTTATCATAAAAGTAGCAAAATGTAAACTAGAGTAGTTTTTCGACTTCCATACAAAATACTAAATCCCTATACTATAGTAACAGCCATTGCCAGATGGCAACAGAAGCTAAAGATGGTTCAGATCTTTGGCCAAAGAGTAACTTTTTAGACACTTCAACATGATGAAAAAATAAAAAAAAAATTAAAAACTAAAAATAATAACATATCTTGGGCGAAATGGGCTTTGAACTTGTTCGTATACGTGTATTTCAGGCATCTTGGTCGTAACCCGTTCATCTGTGACTGTAACCTAGCCTGGCTGTCGGACTACCTGGAAACAAACCCCATCGAGACCAGCGGTGCCCGCTGTGTCCGACCTAAGAGAATGGAGCGGAAAAAGATTAGTGGCACAAAATCTTCAAAGTTCAAATGTAAAGGTGATTTTAATTTTATGCATGCTAGATGTTGTGACAACTAATTTGGGTATTTTGTATAATTTTATTTTCATTTTTATTTATTTCTTAAATGTTCATATTTTATATTTTCTTTATTATTTGACGAATGTTAGATATTTGTTCTATTTGCTTACCAAACATTGTATTGAATGAGTTATATAAAGTTGGATATTCAAAATTGAGAACAATTTTTTCCATGCATGTGTTTGTATATAATTTTATTGTACAGTTATATACAATAAATTACTAAATTTTACACTTTATTTTGTAGCTTGTAAATATGTATATCCCTGGAATGAACATATCAATATTTTAATAATTTATTTAAAATAAACGAGAATGGCTTGATAATAATATTTCTTTAATTAACTGTTTATAAAATCATTCTACTATTGTATTATTCAATGCTTTGTATGAAGAAAGTATTCACTTTACATTATTGCCATCTTATTTTATGGAATTTATTATGTTGCATGAGTCAATTGTTATCCCTAGCATGCAAGTTCATTATATCTAATACAATTATACCTTGATTTTGGTATATCATGATATAAAAAGTTTGTAAAGAAACATTGGTTTTAAATATCTTAAATTCATTATTCATAATATACATGTATATTAAATTTATATTTAGAAATATTATTATTATTGTCATTATGATTATTCAGGTACGGAGGAATATCGAACCAGGAACGCCGGAAGCTGCACCATTGACAACACGTGTCCACTGAAGTGTGACTGTTCCGGTACCATGGTTGACTGCTCATCGCGGCGTCTGACGTCAGTGCCCACAAACCTACCGTCATACATCACGCAACTGTAAGTGAAATGATTATTACATAATATAAGACACTTTTTTGAGATTCAAAAGAAAAATATAGCGAGGACTGTTTTCCTCCTTATAATAACTGTCTGTACAACATTATAATAATATCTTTATTTAGAGAAGGTTAAATTAGTTTACAAACTTTTTACAAAAAGAGAACACGTATACTTATTTTATTTTCAGTATGACCCTCTGATTTGAACAAGAATACAGTTATTATAAAAAAGATAAAAAAATGTATAAAGTATTCTGAAATCTTAAATATACCTATTTCTCAATTGCAGGAACCTTAAAGATAATCAAATATCTAAATTATCCCAGGAGGACTTTAGCGAACTACCAAATTTACAAATTCTGTAAGTATAAAATTATGTTTTCAAATCAAGTTTAGTACATGACTTTTAATAGTTATATAAACTTAGATTGTTTGAATGCAGAAATTCAATCTAGAGGATAGATAGATTTAACAGAATAAACCTTAATATTTTTGCAATGTAGAGATACTTTCATTGACATTTCTTTTTTTCTAGTTAGGGAATTATTTATTCACATTTATACCATTTCAGAGATTTGAGCGATAATCTTCTGGAAATTATTGAAGACAACACATTTGGTACTTTAGAAAAACTTGTTGAATTGTAAGTAACATCATTTTTTAAGTCTCGGGTAAAACTGTATTTTCAGGAACCACTCATTAAAAAAAGTAAATTTGATACCTGTTTTGTTTTAAAGGCACATTATAACTAAGAAATATATATTGTTTTAAGTTCTTTGAAGATGCCAAACATGTGTTTAATAATGTTTAAATAATAGATTAAAAGCATGTTAAATATTTTACAACTGAAAAAGGTGCGCCAAACATGCAACTTCCATACAAAATACTAATGCACTATAATTCAGCCAATTGACAACATAGCTATAGATGCTATTGCGTATAATTTTGGACTCTGTTACGATATAGGAAAAATAATCAGTTTTTGAGAAATAAAAATGACATCATTCCTGAGACATAATGATCCTGTAAGATATAATGTTGAAAAATATGTCATCGTGCAATAAGTTTCTAATGACTATAATTACTATTAGCATAAAGTTAAAATATCATCACATTATGAAATACCATGTAAAGTATTAATAAATTGCAATAATGCCATGTCATTCATATACGTATTTGATTACTCTGAACGCATTGCAACTATTTTGGTGATCAACAATTTGTTTTATGTGTATGTAATCAATAATAATTATTGACTGATTTATTACAATTATTTATTGTATCATACTTATTCTTTAAAGAAATCTGGCCAATAACAGACTGGATAAGGTATCAGGAAGAATGATGGTGGGTTTGACAGGAGTTCATCACATGTAAGACATAATGTTATTTTAGGTTACATAAATGGAACAAAAAGAAAAAGAAAAATGCTGGTTGCGTTTGTACAAAAAAAAACGTGTCATACACTAAACACGCCTTATGAATTTCAATTTTGATTTTCCATTTTCTTGTAGAATTAATAAGTAATCATAATTCCACAAATAAAGACTCAATTCAGAAAATAACATTGAAATAAAAACGTTATTAATCACTTTGTATAATTTTTAGCAATTTTTACCAATTTGTCAGAATTTATTCCGATCAACTTCGGCTATAGATAAAAGAATCGTTCATACGTTTTCTTCATTTTCTTTTTAAAAAAAAGCACGATAAAAGAAATCATAAAGCTTTCATTTCTTTCATTTCCAGTTCATTGACCAGTAACCGATTGACGTGTTTAAGTAATACAACTTTCAAAGATACCGTCAATCTAAGAAAACTGTAAGTAACTTATTATCTTTTCACGTCATCTTGATATAGTAGATCTTAACTCTTAGTTGTTTCGCATATAAAAAAAAAAATGAAATGATATCTGTTTTTCATTTCATTTTAGCTTCTAACATACAATTTTAAAATGTCATGATTTTGTTATAGGTGCATTGAAGTGCACATGTCTGTTTAGCGTTATTTTGTGAGTCTATGAAATACCACATATTTTCAAAAAAGGAGATAAAATCTTTTGTTAAAAAATATTTGCAGACGATATTTCAGGAATAAACAGTTTCGTTTTATTAATGGCAGATGATAAAGTGAAATTCGTACGCAGGAAATTACATAATTGCTCTCGATATCGTATCTTCGGTTTCTTTTAAATTTCCTATAATAAGATCTAATCATTATAGAATAAATATAAACAATATCTCACGGTTTTTGTAGCCGATAAGCGCAATTTTCTAAAAATAGAAAAAAATGGTGTACTTGATTGGTAAATTAGAATGGAATATGTTCTACAGACACAAGAAAGAGATATGAAACGACCTTATCAGATAATATTCGTGCACACCTGATTTTTAATATATCTGTTTCAGAGATCTTTTCGGAAACCAGATAGGCTGTATTCAAGAGGGTGCATTTGACAGAACAACGGAACTTTCATCATTGTAAGAATTGACTTGTATTTAAAACAAACTGTAAAAAATTTGATACCGATCATATCGAAAACAGCCGGCACAGAATGATTTTATTTAACGCAAATCAGAGAAAAGCATATTGAATTCTACAGAACAGAATCATTACAACTACATACAATAATTATTTACTTGATGGTTCAACGATCTGAAGCCAAATGTTTAGACGTGTGTGTGTGTTTTTTTTCTCTTTCCCAATGCCCAGTTAGTTAATATGACATATTGGGTTATTTTTACTGTTATGAAACACATGTTATTTATACAGTCTTGAACTACATATTGTTTGTCCATACTTTGGCAAACAGCAGTGACAATGGGTTTGATATGAAGACACAATTTTACTAACGATCATTGGGTTACATGAATGACATGTAATTAACTGAATCTACTTTCTATGAAAATTGTATTTTAATATTTCATTTTACGTGTACATCATTGTAAAATACGTTTGACCAATTTACTTCCTTGCAGGAATCTCATGTCCAACCCATTCTCGTGTAATTGTCATCTTAAATGGTTTTCAAAATGGTTGTCAACACACGATGTTCTTGTTGGAAGCCTCACGTGCTATTTCCCGCGCAAAGTGCGCGATACGCCATTCCTGGACGTTGATACGGAAGAAATGATATGTGAAGGTGAGTTTGATTGAAATATTTATTTATAGAACAAGTTTGATTCAAATATTGTTAGTCCCCTACCGGTTTACCGGAGGGGACTTTAGGTTTACCCTCCGTCCGTCTGTCCGTCTGTCTGTCTGTCTGTCCGTCCGTCAGTCCGTCCGTCCGTCCGTCCGTCTGTCCGTCCGTCAGTCCGTCCGTCCACAAAACTGGATCCCGTGATAACGCAAAAAGTACTGAAAATATTTTAATGAAACTTGATATATGGATAGATGGCAGTATGGAGATTATGCACGTCTTTTTCTTTTCTTCCTATGTTGAAAATTCTGGTTGCTATGGCAACAAATAGACGGAAAATATGGCAAATTTTACACATAACCTGGATCCCGCGATAACGCAAAAAGTACTGAAAATATTTTTATGAAACTTGATATATGGATAGATGGCAGTATGGAGATTATGCACGTCTTTTTTCTTTTCTTCCTATGTTGAAAATTCTGGTTGCTATGGCAACAAATAGACTGAAAATATGGCAAACTTTTACACATAACCTGGATCCAGTGATAACACAAAAAGTACTGAAAATATGTTTATTAAAACTTGACATATGGGTAGATGGCAGTATGGAAATTATGCACACTCTTTTCTTATCTTCCTATGTTGAAAATTCTGGTTGCTATGGCAACAAATAGACTGAAATTTCACAGATTTCTGATTCTAGTTTTTAAGTTTTTTCTCTATAAGTTCTTTATTTCTTAAGGTATTTTCTTCAAACTTTAAATATAAGTTGCTTGTCATCAACCACATCATTATGTGACCAGGTTTACAACTCTAGCACAAAAATTTATCAGGAATTACCTCCCTTGAACTTAAAATTTTCATGAAAAAACATTGTTTTTTTAATAACTTCTTTTTCTGAATGTATCTACTTCAAACTTCATATAAATGTTTCATATTTATCACTCAACATTTGTGAGTGTTCAAATACTCTAGCAAGACGATTTCCAGGAATTATGGCCCCTTTTGAAACTTAGACTTTTTTTTGAGAAAATTGGTATTTTTTTTACTCCAACTTCTCAATCATGATAGGATTTTAAAAGATGTTATATTTTGATAACAGGGATGTTTAAAAAAATAACTTTAGAGTGTCCTTCAGTCTGTCTGTCTGTACATAAAAACTGTTTCCTGGTGATCACTTTTAAAGAACTTTTTCAACAAATTAGGAACCTTAGTGAATGGCCAATGGCCCTTCAAAATGTTGCTTAGGCTCTTACCGGTAGGGGACTTATGGATTGCTTGCAATACTATGATAATTGCTTGTTTACTTATAGAACAATAATAATCGAATACTATGTCACTGAAAAATACGTTGTTTAAATATACGAAAAGAAAATTTCAATGTATTATTTTTCATTCCAAATATTTTACGACTATTCTTACTCGATACTTAAAATCTTCTGGTGAAATTAGATTATTGTTTGGTGTTTTTTACTCAAAGCAAAGTGCAGTGTACTTAGCTACCGTCGAGCAAATTGGTTGTGTCTGCAGTTTTATGGAAACAGTTTGATTTAGTACCGTATGCTGTTGTTTCTTTCCTGTGATATTAATTGACGTTTTTATTATGTTTCAGAGAATAACGAAATTGGGTGTAATGTCGGAATCCCGCCATGCTGCTCCGATCAACCTGCAGGGGGTAAAAATAAAACTGTTACATCCATTTTTTAAGGCATACGACATCTTAAGTACCAAATGATTATTGTTTTTCAAAATGTGTACTGAAATTTGAACAATGATGCTGAATATTGCGTTTTTTCAACGGAACCCAAGATTGTTTGTATATATAAATTGCAATGATTAAGCTATTTAGCGTCTATTTAAACAGACTCTTCGACAAAATTTACAAATTTACGACGATATTTGACATAAAATAAAATCAGTTGTGACATTCTACAAATTTTCCAATTCTATAAAATGTCGGATTCGATTGACTGTCATATTCCATGAGATGTTTTTCGACGAAATGTCTTGGGAGCATAAAGTACGCGCGTATGTTAAAAACTTTTGAAAAAATATTAGAAAATTATATTGTACATAGTGTGAAACTTTTTAGGAATGCTTTTGTTTACTTTTAAGATGTTTGAATCGGGCTTATATAGTTTAAATATTTTAATTTATCTTTGTAAAGAAATACGTTCACATTTTTTGCAGACTTGATCCAGAGAAACTGTGATCCTCGGGTACATTGTCCGGACAAATGTACATGTACTGGTACAGTTGTAAGGTGCAGTAGAAAGGATCTGAAAACAATACCGAAAGGCATTCCACTAGACACAACTGAACTGTAAGTTTTAGAACATTTCGAGTTTAAATATTTACATTTAAACTCACTATAAGTATGATATTAATATTTAATATTTAAAAGTTTATCTTCATTTTGAAAATAAAGCCAAAGAAAACACAAATACACCCCCCCCTAAAAAAAATGAATAAGTAAAAATAGATAAATAAAAAGACAAACAAAGCAAAACAAAACAACGAATTTCAAAAATAATTTCTACTCATCAAATACTAGAAGCTTGTTGATGATTATTTTTTATATCTTGTATAATGATGAATGCATTTTGTTTTCACTACCACATTTGTCTGAAAATGTTGCAATCGCTTTTTCTAGTTGTTTTGCATACATGTATACTTTTTGATCGTTGTTCAGATACTGGTGAAATCTGTGTTTTCACTCTGGCATTGTCTGAAAATGTTGCAATCGCTTTTTGTAGTTGCTTTGTATACATGTACAATTTCTTTGTTCAGATACCTTGATGACAATGGTATAGAGGAAGTAGAAAGCACCTCAGACGATATAGTCAGTGAAATAGGCAGACTTACACGTCTTACAAGACTGTAAGAGAAGTTTATTTTATACCAACTGCGTACCAAATAAATACTTGATACACAATGATTTGTAATTCAGAAATAATTTGAAATTTTGTCAAAGTTACACTTACCACTTTGAATAATATTATCTTAGAATATATCTTTAAACTATATTAAACTTATGACATTTCCAGCACTATCTGATAAACAATATTGTGAAAGATTACATAAAAATATCATTCTCGTGAATCCGACAACGAAACATCGGCATGGTGTAGAAATAAGACATACGATTTTGATATCATTATAAAATTATATAAAAAACTGAATATATATGATTTTTGTGCGATTTTTACTAATTAACGGCATAAACAGGCCTGTCAAAATGGAATGAATATTCCGACAGCTGGGCTTGTTTTATAATTGATGCATTTCTCAAATGTTCTTATTTGTTGTAATATTCGACAATGATTTTTGCAGGGATCTGAGCAACAACCGAATTATGAGCCTGCCTCCGAAATTGTTTGCTAATTTGACGCATCTGTCAACGCTGTAAGTACCTGTCACATTTCTGCAGAATTAAGCGGGGGTTTGTTAGTTAAATATTTGCAGTGTTTAGTGGTTTCCCACATGTATTTTTGCGTTTGTTTGCTCGTTACTCTGGTGCCAATTATGCCATCTCTGCTGTCATTTATACCACATTGCAATATGATGATCTCTGAAAGATGAAAAAACAAACTATTGAATAAAAGATTTCAAATGCTTTAATTTCTAAAAAAAGAGAACTTTTGATTGTGTGTGTTCGATTAGTTTCTGTTTTTTAGCTCACCTGACCACGAAGTGGTCATGGTGAGGTATAGTGATGGGGCTATGTCCGGCGTCCGTCGTCGTGCGTTGTGCGTCGTGCGTCGTGCGTTGTGCGTCGTTCGTCGTCAACAATTGGGTTGTTAACAGTCTAGCAGTCACAGTTTTGATTGGATCATCATCAAACTTTGTCAGAATGTTTGTCTCAATGAAATACATATCGAGTTCGAAGATGGGTTATCTCGGGTCAAAAACTAGGTCACAGGAGCTAAAAATAGAAAAAGCTTGTTAACACTCTAGAGGCTGCAGTTTTCATACAAATATTCTGGAAATTTGTCAGGAAGGTTGTTTTTATGATATCTAGGTCAAGTTTGAAGATGGGTCATCTCCGGTCAAAAACTAGGTCACGAGCTAAAAATAGAAAAAGCTTGTTAACAGTCTAGCAGTCACAGTTTTGATTGGATCATCATCAAACTTTGTCAGAATGTTTGTCTCAATGAAATACAGATCGAGTTCGAAGATGGGTTATCTCGGGTCAAAAACTAGGTCACAGGAGCTAAAAATAGAAAAAGCTTGTTAACACTCTAGAGGCTGCAGTTTTCATACAAATATTCTGGAAATTTGTCAGGAAGGTTGTTTTTATGATATCTAGGTCAAGTTTGAAGATGGGTCATCTCCGGTCAAAAACTAGGTCACGAGCTAAAAATAGAAAAAGCTTGTTAACAGTCTAGCAGTCACAGTTTTGATTGGATCATCATCAAACTTTGTCAGAATGTTTTGTCTCAATGAAATACAGATCGAGTTCGAAGATGGGTTATCTCGGGTCAAAAACTAGGTCACAGGAGCTAAAAATAGAAAAAGCTTGTTAACACTCTAGAGGCTGCAGTTTTCATACAAATATTCTGGAAATTTGGTCAGGAAGGTTGTTTTAATGATATCTAGGTCAAGTTCGAAGATGGGTCATCTCCGGTCAAAAAACTAGGTCACAGGAGCTAAAAATAGAAAAGCTTGTTAACACTCTAGTGGCTGCAGTTTTCATCCAAATATTTTGGAAATTTGTCAGGAAGGTTGTTTTGATGATATCTAGGTCAAGTTCGAAGATGGGTCATCTCCGGTCAAAAACTAGGTCACAGGAGCTAAAAATAGAAAAAGCTTGTTAACACTCTAGTGGCCGCAGTTTTCATCACCAAATATTCTGGAAATTTGTCAGGAAAGTTGTTTTGATGGTTTCTAGGTCAAGTTCAAAGATGGGTCATCTCTGGTCAAAAACTAGGTCACAGGAGCTAAAAATAGAAAAAGCTTGTTAACACTCTATAGGCTGCAGTTTTTATCCAAATATTCTGGAAATTTGTCAGGAAGGTTGTTTAGATGATATCTAGGTCAAGTTTGAAGATGGATCATGTCTGGTCAAAAACTAGGTCACAGGAGCTAAAAATAGAAAAAGCTTGTTAACACTCTAGTGGCTGCAATTTTCATCCAAATATTTTGGAAATTTGTCAGGAAGGTTGTTTTTGATTTTATCTAGGTCAAGTTCGAAGATGGGTCATGTCTGGTCAAAAACTAGGTCACAGGAGCTAAAAATAGAAAAAGCTTGTTATCACTCTATAGGCTGCAGTTTTCATCCAAATATTCTGGAAATTTGTCAGGAAGGTTGTTTTGATGATATCTAGGTCAAGTTCGAAGATGGGTCATCTCTGGTCAAAAACCAGGTCACGAGCTAAAAATAGAAAAAGCTTGTTAACACTCTAGTGGCTGCAGTTTTCATCCAAATATTCTGGAAATTTGTCAGGAAGGTTGCTTAGATAATATCTAGGTCAAGTTCGAAGATGGGTCATCTCCGGTCAAAAACTAGGTCACAGGAGCTAAAAATAGAAAAAGTTTGTTAACACTCTAGTGGCTGCAGTTTTCATCCAAATATTCTTGAAATTTGTCAGGAAGGTTGTTTTGATGATATCTAGGTCAAGTTTGAAGATGGGTAATGTCCGGTCAAAAACTAGGTCACAGGAGCTTAAAATAGAAAAAGCTTGTTAACACTCTAGTGGCTGCAGTTCTCATCCAAATATTCTGGAAATTTGTCAGGAAGGTTGTTTTGATGATATCTAGGTCAAGTTGGAAGATGGGTCATGTCCGGTCAAAAACTAGGTCACAGGTGCTAAAAATAGAAAAAGCTTGTTAACACTCTAGTGGCTGCAGTTTTCATCCAAATATTTTGGAAATTTGTCAGGAAGGTTGTTTTGATGATTTTCAGGTCAAGTTCGAAGATGGGTTATCACCGGTCAAAAACTAGGTCACAGGAGCTAAAAATAGAAAAAGCTTGTTAACACTCTAGTGGCTGCAGTTTTGATTAAAATATTCTGGAAATTTGTCAGGAAGGTTGTTTTAATGATTTCTAGGTCAAGTTCGAAGATGGGTCATGTCTGGTCAAAAATAGGTCACAGGAGCTAAAAATAGAAAAAGCTTGTTAACACTCTAATGGTTGCAGTTTTCATCCAAACATTCTGGAAATTTGTCAGAAAAAGTTTTGTTTTTGATGATTTCTAGGTCAAGTTCGAAGATGGGTCATCTCAGGTCAAAAAACTAGGTCACAGGAGCTAAAAATAGAAAAAGCTTGTTAACACTCTAATGGCTGCAGTTTTCATCTAAATGTTCTGGAAATTTGTCAAGAAGGTTGTTTTGATGATATCTAAGTCAAGTTCGAAGATGGGTCATCTCCGTCAAAAACTAGGTCACAGGAGCTAAAAATAGAAAAGCTTGTTAACACATTAGGGGCTGCAGTTTTCATCCAAATATTCTTGAAATTTGTCAGGAAGGTTGTTTTGATGATGTCTAGGTCAAGTTCGAAGATGGGTTATCTCCGGTCAAAAAAACTAGGTCACAGGAGCTAAACATAGAAAAAGCTTGTTAACACTCTAGTGGCTGCAGTATTGATTCAAATATTCTGGAAATTTGTCAGGAAGGTTGTTTTTGATGATTTCTAGGTCAAGTTCGAAGATGGGCCATCTCAGGTCAAAACTAGGTCACAGGAGTTAAAAATAGAAAAGCTTGTTTACACTCTAGTGGCTGCAGTTTTTATTCAAATATTCAGGAAATTTGTCAAGAATGTTTGTTTTGATGTTTTCTGGGTCAAGTGCTTAGATTGGTCATGTCTGGTCAAAAAACTAGGTCACAGGAGCTAAAAAATGGAAAAATCTTTTTAACACTCTAGTGGCTGCAGTTTTGATCCAAATTTCCTGGTAAATTGGTCAGGAAGGTTGTTTTGATGATTTCTAGGTCAAGTTTGAATATGGGTCGTGTCCAGTCAAAAATTAGGTCACATTGCCCAAATATGGAAAAATCTTTATAACACACTAGAGGTCACATGTTTGACTCAGTCGCATCAAACTTGGTCATGATGCTTGTTTAAGACATTGCTTGAATGCGGTTGTGTCAGGTGAGCGATCCAGGGCCATCATGGCCCTCTTGTTTTTGTTGTTTGTTTTGGTTTTAGCTATTGTAGATGAAAAAGATAACGTTTTTCTTTTTACTTTATTCATGAAACGAGACATTTACACCAATGTCTTATGTAAGATATGTTTCTTACGTAACACATCGCGTTCCTATTCACGTGACATGTATTACTACAGTGCATAAAATATCATTTTTTGGCATTTTTTGCTTTCCCTAGTTAGTTAGCATGGAAAATGGGAACAATTTTCATTGTAAATTGTTATGTCACGAGATAATTTCTTTCCCATTAATCTTTGCTCTAAGAATTCAAGGAGGGCACAACACGACGCCATACGTAAATTTCTAGCTTTACGCTGATGCTATCAATTATGTCTGAAATATAGTAATTTGTCAGTTAATGTGGGCAGGAATCGTTTAAGAGACAAAGAGTCTAGAGTAATACTTTAATATATACATGTAGAAATAAAATATCGTCATTGTCTAGCGTATGTCAGTACAAGTATTTTTAAACTATGACACAATTTTTATAATGTGAAGGTGTTGTATAGCCTGCAGGAGTTTGATTAACAATAAAACAAAACGAAACATTCCCCCCCCCCCCAAAAAAAAAGAAGAAAAAAGAGAAAATAAAAACATAAATAAATAAATAAATAAATAAATAAATAGATAAATAAATAAATAAATAAATAAATAAATAAATAAATAAAAAGAAATAATAAAAAAAATAATAATATTCAAACACTGCAAATTATTTGTATACAAGGATGGGGCTAAATGTCAAATGTAGCTAAACATTATTCAAGAATATATTTAGCAATCAAGTTTTATTAGAAAGAACACGTTTATTAACATTATTTATTTAATGACAGTAAACTAAAATATAATCATTATTTAGCAATAAAGTTTCAACTACACGTATTATTTCTTTGCAGGATCATGAGTTATAACAAACTTCAATGCGTGGCAGATACCTCATTTAGTGGCTTAAATGAACTCAGAATATTGTAAGTACAAGCACCAATGATTAATTTTCTATGTTACCAAACTTCCGCCTGACCAGCCTCTATACTGTTGGCCTACTTTTATATTCAAGTTCATAAATTTTACAATGGACAGTTCGGATTTCAAATTTGAACAAGTCTTTGGTTTGATTTGTTATCATTTCTGGTGAAAACAACTGGAGAAAAACTTTTCTATCAAACGTAGTGTGTTTCATTTATTTGTTTAAATATATGTATTTAAGCTCGGTTGTGAACAAGTACTTGCAACTTATATTAATCATTATTGAGTCCGCTCCTTGGAACCATACAGCAGTAGTGTCATATGAAGAAACATGGGCGTGACCAGATTAGGGCTGGAACCCATAATTCCTTGGTTGAGAGGCAGACACCTTAACCACTTGACCACCGCTCCCATTGTTTCATTTATGAGTTCTATCATTCAAAGAAATTGTGTAAACATTTTTATACCAGTATAAAGAATATGTCAATGTTTTAAACTTAAAGAAATATTCTTTAAAAAAAAATAAATAAACATTGTGCGGTTACATCTTTTGTCTTCGTCTGCAGGTCTCTACATGGGAATAACATGTCTTCTATTCCATTCGGCACTTTTGATGATTTAACTTCCTTAACACATCTGTAAGTATACTTTAGAACTTTAAGACTCAGCACGTATGCAGATATTGATAAGATTAATGTGCTAAAACTTTTAAAAATGAAGGATAAAATATCACTTGAGCGTTGTTTATATGATTAAACAAATCACTCTTAACTTGAACCATTGCCGACCTCATGGAATTTTATGATATATAAAAAGTTTTTCAAACTGTTAATGCACCTTGTCAGTACATTAAAAAGTAAAATTAAGATGGTTTATATGCTTGTGAATCTTTTTTATTGCACTGTTTTACACCAGCAATGGTGTTTATGTTGTTCTTTTAGCAGTTACGTCACAGTCAGCATCCTTGCTTACACTATTGTTAAATGGGTCTCTCTTAACTTTGTATCCGTTTTTTTTTTCATTTAAACAAAGTATATGTTGAAATAGTGCCATAAATTACAATTATCGTTGTAAAACTTTCAAGGCCCACTATTTCTATTTCTCAAAAACGTTTTATTTTTGATGTTCTGTTATAGTTTCCAAAACAATAATCTTTTGCTTCCGTTGCTTTTTATCAATTATGTTTGGTACTTTGTATGGAAGTGAAAAAACAACTTTGTTTATATTTTCTTACTTATATGACAACTAATTATATATTAAGCACTTTTTTCGTTAGGTGACAAGCATGTTTACAACCATTATTTAAAATTTTATCATTTTAAAACTCATGTCTGCCTTTTCTAAAGAAAGAAAAAAAATGTTTCTGAGACATTAAGTGCCTTTTAACGTTTCTCTTTTTCTAATCGTGAGGAAGTCAAGCTCATGAAACAGTCTTAATTACATTTTATAATATGCGCATATAGACGCTTTACAGTTTTAATAACGATATGCGCATATAGACGCTTTACAGTTTTAATAACGATATGCGCATATAGACGCTTTACAGTTTTAATAACGATATGCGCATATATCATATATTTTTACTGAGTTCGGTTAATGACACTGTCATAACAAGTTTGGCCAGCATAATAATATGCGTATTCTTGCTAAACTATACTGTTAATTACCCAATTTAAGTTTGATAACTGTAATGTATTATTAACAATAAAACGTTTAGATTTCATGACAGATTCGTTAGTGGACATTTGTGCTTTAGAAACGAATTTTTTGTTAACCAAAATTAGCAACCAGAAATAAGATGAGATTCACGCTACCTTTTTGCCAATAATAACTTTTTGGAAACTCTACGAAAAGTGACATAATTATCATTAAAAGCTGTTATTCAGATAAGTTGATATATAGATTAAAATCGTTTCTTGCATAACGAGCCTTTTAAATAGCTTTCGCGGAATAAAGCAAGTAGAGTATATTTTAGCATTTTCAGATGTTATTGATATTGTGTTTTTTTATACTAATATTTTAGAGCACTAGGTGGTAACCCCTTGTACTGTGATTGTGGCCTCAAGTGGCTGTCAGACTGGGTTAAGAAGAAGTATGTGGAGTCGGGTATTGCAGCATGCGTCGGTCCGAAAAGTATGATGAACAAACTGATGTTGACAACTCCATCGAGCTACTTCGAATGCAACAGTAAGTTGTCCATACATAAAGTGTTGATATTACATGAAATGAAGACTAAGTGCATTTTGAATTATGCTTGCTAAACATATAATGAATTGAAAACTTTTACAAGATTTAGAAAAATAATGGAAGAAAAGGAGTTAAATTACATGTATATACATTTAAGTGGTATGTAACAAATACGTTTATGTTGGTATTGAATAACGATATTTTACAATCAAATATCTAATCACACAAAAAAGAACTTGTGTGTAAAAAGTAAGAAAAAATGACATGCCTGTTCAACCATTGCTTTTTATCGGAAGAATTTCTAATAATCTAAAGGTTTTAAAGCACTGCTTTCAGTTACCGGCGAGGTTTTAAAGTACTGATTTTAAAGGCACATACATAACGAGCAAATGTCAATTACAGGTGAGCCAGATCCCGAGGTGCAGGCTAAATGTAACGTATGTTACAAGAACCCGTGTCAACATGGCGGTGTATGTACAGCTCTCGGATTTAGAGACTTTAAATGCGACTGCACCCCTGGTTTCCATGGCAAAGGATGTGAGGAGGAAATAAATGCATGTTTTGGCAATCCTTGTCACAATAATGGTGTTTGCAAGATTAAAGATAGAAGAAACCTCTTTGGAAGCTTCATGTAAGTTTATAAAGTTGTAATATGAGTTTTTTTTTAAATTTTTTTATGTTAAAACAAATGTGAAAAAAAAGAGTTATTGTTTATATTCCTGTTTGCTGATGATTGATCTTTGTCCGACGTTTTTCGACAGAATGAATCTAGAAAAGGCAATGAATAAATGCAATAAAATCGGATGATAAAGTCAGATGACATTGTATTTGTAATATATCAAAAGATAAAACACAATTTTACACTGATGCAGGTGTTTTTTTTCTTATCCAAACCATTAGTAATATTGAAATAATGAAAATATCTTTCTTTAAGGCTGGATTTTTAAAATTACCTAACAAAATTTTCAGTTTGGTCAAAATTTAAAGAAAAGTAAAATGGAAATAAGCTATCATTGAATAAAAGGGGAAAAAAAAATCATTTCTATACAAAAGATTCAAATTTGAAATTGTATGACCATGTGATTTGTTGTTCTTGCAACTAAGGATTTGGTAAGTTCAAACAGTTTACCGGCTTTGATTATGTTATATTGATGCTGTTTTACGAGTCACTTATTAAAACTAGTTTATTGTTATATATGTGCAATAATGTTATCAATGTTACTATACAATCTGACTAAAGTTCAGATCTACTTAAGTTATTTTCTTGCATGTAGATCTGATTGCCACCGGATTTGTTTCGCTTTATTTTAATCCGGATTTCCCGAGAAAGCTATTTTTAGACATGTAATCAAATCGTCCTTTACAGATAGGCATTAGACAAAATATCAAAATATCGCTGTCCATGGATTGTTGATTTTTGTTAGAAAAAAAAAATTTGTTTGAAGTAATTTGATACAAATAAACTGGAAAAGGTAGACTCAATTCGGCAAGATAGTTGTGCTATATGGACAAAGCCATATTTGTTCCAGAAATTGGAATATTACCTACTCACTATTGGTGTTCCAGCGTTTCAAATTACAAACCACATCCCTTTCAAAATTGTGTAAGCTCGCCGGTGATTGGCTGTTTAAAATGTCACGAGAAGGTGACCTCCTATTGGTGCCCATCAGATCCTAATGCGTAGCGTTATTTAGGAGCTGATTTCAATCAGATTGTCAATGTTATTATATTTTTTATTTTCAAATTTTGTCTTTACATTTGCCTTGATACTTAGAATTAATTTTGCATACTTATTTTACTTTTAAAAGCTTAGAAATGAAAGTTATAACCTTTTTTGATTAGTTTTGCAATTTTCATTTATTGAAGCTTTTAGCAGATGAAATATCCTGTTATTTTTATATGTTGCCTAAATCTGAAAAAACCTTCGTAACGGCATGGCCGAGTGGTTTATGCGTCGGACTAGAAATATAATAACGTAAAGCCACGTGGGTTGAAAACCTCGACGCGGCCACGCCGTTGATTCCTTGCAAAAAACTTAACACACATCGCTAACTACTGGTTGGTTCCAGGAACGTATTTGAGAGTTTGTCTATTAGCTTTCAGCTGCCTCCAAATTCGAACTAAATTTAATACCGTTTCAACTAAATCTAAGAAAAATAACTACATAAATATTAATTTTGTAAAAAAATGACGTGTTGGGAAAATCCTAGCGGACGTCTTTTTTACATAATCTAAATCTACGAAAATGATTAATCTACTTTTTTGTGCAAATATTAATATATAAATAATCTTTGAATCTTTGTCCTAGCCATGTACTCGTAAAATATATTTTTATTATTCAATGTATCACTCATTTACATGTACAGTTTATAAATATACTGTAAATATATAATATTCAATTAAACCTTTGAAAGATTGGCATTCAAAATGTTAAAATCTTAGATTAAAACACGACATTGAACAGTTGCGTTTCGATGGCAAATGTATTCAAGAAAAGATAACTCTTGTTTAAACAATTTACCTAAATTATCATTTGTAACAGAAACAATTTGATTTCGATGTACATTATCAAAGACGTCTTTCATATCAACATTATTGTTTATATCCATTATGTAGGTGTGATTGTTTGGGAGGTTTCGAAGGGGAGCGATGCGAAGTGAACATTGACGATTGTAAATCTCATACATGTCAAAACGGAGCTACTTGTGTTGATGGAGTTGAATCATACACGTGTCAATGTGCTCCTGGTTTTACAGGTTTGTTAAAAAATAGAGAAACATTTTAATTAATTAAATAAATATTAAATATCTATAGAACGACAAATGTGTGAGGTAATGTATGTTGAAGAAAACTATCCTGTCAGCTTACGGAACGTCGGTAGTTTAACTCCGGTGCCCGTTCGTGACTGAAATTATGCACGGAAGGGCACTCCACCAGCAAAGCTAAAAGTCGCTATATAACCATAACTATTTCGGTGTGACGTAAAACCCAATCGAACAATATAAACATTATGTGTGTTAATAAAGTAATTAATTGTGAGCTAAATGTCAAACTTTTTATAACATATTTATATTTTATTCGTATAGGAGAGAAATGTTCGGATAAAATAGAGTTCTGCTCTGGTCCATACAACTTCTGTGAAAGAGGCAAATGTGTTGACCTATCAACTGACTACAGGTATGAACTTTACACATTTAAAAATAAAACAGAATAATATATGATTCGCTGTATCATAGCGTTACAAAATAACAATACTCTCCACAGCCGATTAAGATTTGTGACTTGATAAGTTATGAAATGCGAGACAAAACATGACATTCGAGGACATTCGTTTTTTTTATATCTAGAAAGTTTATTGTGCCCAGTTACAGTAATAATAAAGTTTGATTTGTTACACTTAAAATGCATCCTGTAAGTCCTGAGGTTAAAAGTAGGAGACTTAATGTATTTATTGTTTACAGATGCGAGTGCCCGGCAGGCTACTCGGACAAAAACTGTAGTACCAATATAAATGAATGCGAGGAACATATTTGTCAACACGGCTCCACTTGTGTGGACGAAGTGGACTCTTACAGGTAATTTTCACGTCCAGTCCAACTTTATATTTCAGTCTTATACACCATGACGCTTCCTTTAGCTTTTGATTTTCACCCATCACTTTTGCAAACATTGCTAGTGTTTTGTTTGCCTTTTTAGTAATTGATTGGAAAGCCACTTACATCTTTTGTGTCAAATTATGCCACAGTCCGTATGTTATTTAAAACTACAATGATATATTCGCGATTTTGACTCAAGTTAAATGTTCAACCGTTAACTTCCATTAAGTTCATGCGATTAGCACATACTACATTTATTTAAAAAGGTTTCTTCTTGCTAAGTCTGGCTTCTTTTGTCATGAATAAAAAAATCACAGGTAACCAATTTTAATGTTGTATTGTTTATCATTGCCTGTTACAGCTGTCTTTGTAAACGAGGTTACACGGGAAGGTTCTGTGAGATAGCGCCTGTGGATCTCGACCTTCCAATACCAGGGGCTGGTCTATGTGAAAACCACGAGTGTCAAAATAACGGGGTATGCTACCAAGAGAATAAATCCTCTGACTACACTTGCAAATGTGTAGCCGGCTTTGTCGGCAAGAAATGTGAGAAACTTGCTAGTCTCGCTTTTATGGCGGTAGACTCCTACATCCAGCTACCAAAATTCAACTTCCAAGCATTTTCTAACATCACCATAGTGATGAAAACAAATTCCAGTTCTGGTTTATTGATGTACACCGGTGTAGAAGAGCATTTGGCAATCGAGCTGTACAAAGGCCGTGTTGCTGTCAGTTTCTATGTCGGAAAAGAACATATTCCTTCGCAGTTCAGCTATATGTTTAGTTTTACAAAGGTGGACGACGAAAAATTCCATACCATTGAACTCCTTATTAGTCAGAGAAATTTTACAATGCGTGTAGATAATGGTTATCCAAGAACAGTAATTAATGAGGGTGCACACAAGTATCTAGAAGTGGAAGATGACATGTTCCTTGGAGGAGTTCCTAGACACATCAGTACCAGAGCCGAGAGAAAGTTCCACATTCGTGATGGCTCCAGTTTTAAAGGTCTGCCTAACCCTCTTTATACTTCAATATTCTATATATTGTTTGGTTTGGTATACCGTTAGTTTAAGCCTTAGTTTGAATTTTGAAAGCAAAATGGTTAAGAAAACTTAGTAATATTAGTAAAAGGCTTTGTCTTTTGATTTTCTGTTGATAACTAGTATTCAAAACGAGAATACCTTGTTATTTTGACTGTTGCATTAAAGAATTTGATTTAATTTTCATTGATTTGACACTTGATTTTACTCTAAACGCCTCGGAATTTTAGCTGATTATTTATTTGTCTTTGGACTGCAGTTGCCAGTACATACAGGAATCATAAATGACAACAATACACGTAATAAAATAAAATAATAAAATAGTAAAATATACATTTGTATTGTCCATTTTCAGGTTGTTTTTCACAAGTGCTTATCAACGGAAAGCCCCTCGACTTTATGGTCACGAAACGTAATCACAAAATGACACCGGGTTGCAGCAACCCTGATCCATGCAGGAATCATAAATGTTTAAATCGCGGCAAGTGCAGAAGCAGTCCGAGCGGTGATGATTACACTTGCCGGTGTAGGGCGGGGTACGGAGGTCAGCACTGTGAATTAGGTGAATATCCGTCTGATAGTAGCTATAGTAAGTTTTGTTCTTTTGTTGTTTTGTTTACTTTTTTACACAGGAATGATAACTCACAAATATCACATAAAGCTACTACTTGTTCGATTCTTTGCGTGGATTACCTGCCTTTGTAGTCCATTGTACCCAAGTGGTGGCATACTCTTAAAATAAAATTAAATAAATACAAAATTTGTTAAAATTTAATTTCGGGTATACAATGTTCAATCATAATGTAATTTTGTTGCATCATTTTAGTATTTTTTGTAAATTTCAAATTTAGTAATATCGACATAGTTATGGTCATATTCAAAATTATCTCAGTTTTAAATGCAACGACTCAATTAAGTTTCACTTACCAACCATTGATTATTATCTCGCTTGATTCTCGTGTTTATCATTCCTGGATAGAAGTAATGGTTTTCTCAACTGCCGCACTTGCACTGCTTCTTCTTCTTCGATTTCTATAAAAAATCAGAAACAAACAAACAAAAAACAACACTTTCTTTACAGTATATGTCTTTGTTGAACAAATATTTGGTTTTAAGTACAGCACATATTCATGTATTTGTACTATACTTGTTTATTGGTTATAGGTCGAACGGATTATATGGAAACAATACCTTATATAATATTTCTATTATTTGCAATGTATTTTAAATACCTTTTTGTTAGTTTGTACACCTTGAAATAGAGATTTTATGAGTCACAAAATTTTGCACATTTAATTTTAGTAATTTTAGTTATCATTTTTAATGATTTTGCATGAAAAATATTCAAAAACCTTCTATATGAATGTGCGGCCTTATGTTGCTTTTTTGCTTATTGTGTGTTTAAATGCTTTCATTTTGCTCTCGAGGGAATCATATAATTATTTTCCTTTGACTTTTCTCTTTATGTTCTTTGTAGGACCTACTTTTGTCTTCCCTGTAAGTGCACGATCCAAAACTGAATTTCAAAGTATTTTTGTTTTTAGTTTTATGTTTTCATTAAAATTGTGTTCTTGTAAGTTAGCAATTAAGAAATGTTTCTTGTAAATTGAGCCAGGAATATTTTCAATGTCTGGTAAATTATTCAATACTACAACAAAACTTTGTACCTTTCTTTTACAGTATCTACATGCCAAAGCAAAGTTTTTAAGGATATTTATGTTGATCCAAAGACCAGTTGTCGCACGAGGCGGAAGTTGAAGTATCGAAGGTGCGAGGGTACTTGTAATTCTGATTGCTGTAGTCCGATTAGAATTAAAAACAGAAAAGTACGGTTATATTGCCCAGATAATTCGAATTATATTTATGAGCTTCCGGTTATCCGGAAGTGCGGCTGTAAACGGTGTTGATGTAAAAAAACACAATTGTGATAAACGATAATTTCGATGCCCACTATTGAACTTTGTGTTTATTTAGTACTATTTTTAAAAAAATCGCTAACTACGTCATCCGGTTTATTCCGGAAAACTGCAAATGGCAATAACCACTTTACTAATTATGCATAAAAAGCTATGAACTGAGAGTTTGAAAAAGTGGTTTTGATATAAAAAGGAGGTGAGAAGCTTTGTGTCAGTGTGCACAGCAAATCTGAAAAATGGACGCTGAAATTAATGCGCGACTCTTTGACTGGAAAATTGCTGTGCAAAGAAACGAGAAACAATAAAAGGTTAAGTTTTTGAAATGATTTGACACTAGCTCTTTCTCGGAGATATGAAAAGCTAACAGAAATTTGTTTATAGTGTTGTGAACTGACTCTTATATCATAGAGATAGTAACTGTGAGAAGTATACTAAGTAAAATACTGTTAACATATTGTAAAATAGTTTCAATGAAATTTGAATATTTTTAGTTCATGCACAGTAAATTATAACTTTGAAATATTTATGTTTTTATACGTGTATATAGTTATGATATCTTAACAATCTCTTCCATTTTCAGATATGAAAATGTACTTTTTTATTTTTGTTGTACAGATTTTTTTGTTGTTGATGGAATTCGATCTGAATAGAACCTACGTCTCTTAGAATGATTCACCTAAGGAACTCAAACTGTGCTTATCTGTGAGCCATATGACCAATAAAGCCTGTATAAAAATACCTACGTTTCAGCAATAAAAGTAATTAATTCGTTCAATAATATAACTTGTTAACGGTGAAATCTACTGATCTATGGTCATATATTTTTCTTGTCTTTCTTCGGATTTTTTTGCAAGAAATTTTGCGTAGGAAAATGTTGATTTTTAGTCAGAGTTTTTAAGAAACATGATACCTCGGTCATACAAAGTTCGTTTTTTACGCATTTTAAAACTGCCATATTTTTAAAAATATTTGTGAGAAAATATATATGTATACATCAACACTCATCATTTGTAATATTTCATACAAGAAACATCCACGTGATCTATAGGGATTGTTTTGTTTACCCTTGGCTGATAGTCTTATACTTTCTTTCATCGCAATGCTCTGCGTTAACCAAATAATAGTTATTAAAGGGACTTCACTGAGGTTTTGTGACATGGTTGGACTCGAAATATGCCAAAGATTTGTGCACCAATTACCGTATTGAAGGTCTGGACCAAAAACTTGTGAGCAGATTTTCGGGTCATTCTTTTACCTCGTTTTTCCAGAATAATCATTTTCTTGTGCACAATATCCCCAAAATGAAAAGCATTGCAACGCTTTTCACTCTGATCGGTTAAGAATCGCTCTGCATATCGATTTTCAATTAAATTCTGAGTTTTGTTTAGCACAGTTTGCCATTTTTCAGTGCTTCACTTGGTTTTAGTCCTTAGACCTCAGTGGAGTTCCTTTAAAGTAGACAATAAAATAACTAAAAAGCTTCCATGTCAATTTAGCAGCACTTTTGAAACCTACTGCAATTATGACATTATATTTGCAGCAAAAATGAAAGTTTTTAAACGCTTTAAGCCTTACGTGTTGATTTAGCAGCCCCGTCAGTATTGTAATATACGTCATTACAATGTAAACATTACATTTTTTTGGTCAAAAACAATGTACGTTTTAACAGTTTTTGCCTTGGCACTAGGTCGGTATGCACTTCTGTGCTCTATATACATATAAATACACATTTTAGCATGGACTACCAATATTCAGTAGTTTTACATTGACAATCCCTTAAGAATCTATAAAAGGAATGTACATTGTATATTGTCTAAATCTGGAACAGACTACACACTAAAACATGTTCATACATGTATGAATCTGTGTTAGGGTAAATATCCAAACAGAAATACTAAATATTTCATATTTCTTGAATATGCTCACAAGAAAAAAAAACCTGTGTCGTGAACTTGTAAATTTTCATATTCATGATTATTTTGTGTTCCTCTGGCTTTGAGAAAATTAGTGTGCATTTTTTTTTCTTAAAACTTAACGCGAAGCTCAGAATAAATTTTGGCTCATTTATTTCCGTTGTCACGTATGTCATTGCAATGATCTGTGTAAAAGTAAGCGACAGTTTAAGAAAATGTCCACTGCAATTGTTTCCTTTTGTAATGTTTGTAACTTGTAACTGTTCAAAAAGCTAAGATTGAATAAAGATAGTTCAAACGACAAGAGTCATAACTTTTTGGTTAGCTTTTTCTTTTTAAATTTTTTTCCATATTTTCATTTTTACTTCATCGTAGACTGTAGGGATTTTCCCCTTTTCCTACCCCTGTTATATGTTAAAACTATGTGTACGTTTAAATCCGTGCACTTTAGTGAAAGCGACATGTAAGGAATACATGCAGATCATGTCAAGTATTTGATATGTTGTTTGTCTTTTGTTAAGCCGTATTGTATCTTATGGGCTTATAGAACCACCATGGACAGTGTCTCTATTTTTAGAACAGACTTGTCTCTATTTTTAGAACAGACTTATTCGTTTCAGCTATTATTTTCCCAACTCTAAGCCTTTCTTCTGCGTGTTCGTCAAAAAAAATCTTGTATCACGTTGTTGCCATTTATACAATGAACCATCATACAAAATTAAAATGAGCCGCGCTATGACAAAACCAACATAATGCGTTTGCGACCAGCATGGATCCAGACCAGCCTGCGCATCCGCGCAGTATGATCAGGATCCATGTTGTTCGCTAACAAACTCTATAACAAGTAGATATTATACTGATAGCGAACAGGATGGATCCTGATCAGACTGCGCGGATGCGCAGGCTGGTCTGGATTCATGCTAGTCGCAAACGCATTATGTTGGTTTTGTCATGACGCGGCTCAAATGTACCCATTACATTTAGAAATGTATATTTGCGTAGAAATAGGGCTTCATTGTATTAAACTGTCTTGTTTGTTTCTTAAGAGGCCAGTATTTTGGTAAGACACCCAGAGTCATGGCGCACTTCGTCATTTAAGAGAAAAGGTCACGTGATCATTTGTAGTTTACGTTCATTTTGTTGTATACGTGTACAAATGCAGTTCATATTAAAATGTATGTATGTTTTCTTTACATAGATGATATATGTACATACCTGATACATTTATACATAACCGTGTTAACTTGTAGGAAATAAAGCAAAGAAAAACAGCCATTTTACACCAAGCTTTCGAGTTTGAAATTTTAGAATATCTTCCCTATTATTTCTAAATTATTTTATTATTATTATTATTATTTTGCCAAAGATCTTCTGCTTTATATTATTTAAAGATCAAAGATATAATTTTATTTTTTTTCCGTTATTTTGAACCTTAATCTGTTTACACAACAGACCATGAAAAGATATGCCATTAAGTTAACATTGCTAATTATATATTAGAGTTTTCCTTATACAAATTAATGTTAACTTCATTTCTTGATCATTTTGAGACATGGAAGTTTCATATAATAAATGTTTACTGTTTAGTATGTGTGTTCTTGTTTTTATTTCATATGCCGACATTTGACATACCGGTAATGTACCCGTTTTTTATGAACTGATTGTTAATCCTAGTAAAATTGACAAAGAGCACTATAGTTCTCTGTTCTAACCAAAAATTTGACAGACCCAGATTTACTTGAACATGTGATATCCGGCTACAGTTCAAATGCATTACCTTCTTTTGAATTTACAAGTTTACCTTAAAAAATTAATACTTTTGATACAGATTTATCAACAATATCTAAATTTCGATTCCCCAAACTTCTAAACTGTAAAATTATTATAACAACAACAACAACACTTCCAGTGCCATATCTATAGGTAGCCAAATTTTCCAGGATGTTTTTTATATGTAGAAAACACAGCCTTAGGGGCTTAGTCAAGTGAGTTTGGATTTTCCGGACAATTTTTTGTCAAAGGTGCAACCGTAGCACCGTCTTTAGTTCAACTCAATTACGTATCGAATGAATCGAATGCCCAGAAATATATATAAGCATGCAAGCCTTGCTGAACATTAAACAATTGATCAATGTCAATTTTTCATCGTCTAATGTTGTGTTTAGGACAACAGGGTCCGGATGTCTCTAAAATAAGTTTTTCGCATAAAATATAGACAGGACTGATTTTAGGAAAATATGAATGCTAGAGGCATTTTATAGTACAAGTAATATCTTGAGTGTTTTAATCTAATATGGGTATGCTGAAGACGACGAGGGTGGATACCAAGAAAATAAAATTGACCTTGACCTTCAAAATGTCAATTCAAAATGGCCGCTTAAAAATACTAAAATAGGTCATTAAAACTATGATACAATATGATGCAATTAATTATTCTTGTCAAAATCAAATGATCAGATTTTAATGAGATTGACCACCAAATGTAACGATTATAAGCCTAATGGCTCAATTAACAGTTATATACAGTACTGTTTTACAAGCGCGTTAAGGTATATGACTTAAATCACATCAAATTTATATTTTGTTTACTTGACTTTTATTTAACAATAAACTTAGTTTTAAATCCGTCTTTATAGATATTACCAAAAATTAATATTTCGTAATAACAAATTAATATTTCGTAATTACGGAATAATATTTCGTAATAACGAATCAATATTTCGTAATTTAGATTTTATATTTCGTTAAAACGAAATAATATTTCTAATTGGGAATTATTATCTCGTAAAAACGAATTCAGTTCCGTGAGAAAGTGTGGAAAATGTCACTTCAGATGTTCCGTAATTTCAACATTATTTGTAGCTATGATTTTTTTAAGTTGTTCATTTTGTTTTCATATTTTTTGCCCTTATTGTGGTATTTATGGTTTAAAATTAATATTAAAAAAAATATTTTGAAATGTGATTTCAATGCCATAAAAACAACACAAACCGAGACAAAAAGTGTTTTAAAATATATACTGCACTCCCCCCACCCCACCAAAAAAAACAACAACAAAAAACAAACAACAAAAAAACAAACAGTAGGTCTTAAAATCAAAGTGCTGCAGCACTGAATGCGACGGACATGCAACCGGAGAGACATAAGGCTTCTTTTAGAAAAAACAAAAACAAAAACAAAACACACAAATATATAACAGAGAAAATTTGTTCCATACAAGTTCGAGATTTGTAGAGCAATATATTTTGTGTCCCAAATTGATATAATTCAGATTTTCTACTTTCAAGCACTTAAATACAGAATGAAATTTATGCCTAAAAAAACTCTGGTCAAACTTGTAAATCAGTGTCCTTATCGATTTATTCTAAGAAATGATATGTAAATAGAAAAAAAAAACTATCAACGAAATATTCTAGAATAAATCCAGGCAAATAAACTTCAAACATAATACATTATACATTTGAGAATGCTATTTAGAATTGTCATAGTGGGCATACAGACAATAAAATATAAGTCATTTGTATTTTTATTTCTCTTGGATATGTCTCATTAAAAAAAAATTGGTTAAAATCATCAGCAATTAATAGTGTATTTCTTAGATTTTTTTATTTACAAGGTAAAGATGTAGAGGCCAGAGCACATCGTTTTTATTTTAATTTAAATGTCACTTAAGCACTACAGTGTTTAGTTGTCCTTTTCAACTTCACACTAAATTCCATTTTCAACTTGTTTGCTTCTTACAATTGTATAGAATTTCTTAAAGTATTGCATGTAATCCGCTGGTTTATTAATTACATGTATAATGTGTACTTCCTAATCGCCTGTCCAAAAATCAGAACCGGTGAAGCAGAATCTATTTTTAGAATAGCGAAGGTTAACTCATATCATGACCTAGTAAAAATATGTAAACAAACCACAAGAATCGGAAGTAGAACTGATATTATAACTTCCTTACCATGAAAGACTACATGGCGGTAAAGTGTCTTACATGCATTTTCAAAAAATAGATATTTATACTAGCCATTGTACTGTATCTAATATATTAATCACTGCTGAATATTCAGCTAAACCCGCGGTATGAGTCACGAAAATAGTTCTTCTTTTATTAATGCGCGAGTTATCCTTGAGTCAGGAAAACTTTTGATTTGTTAATAATAATGTTTTGTATAATGTAGAAAAATTTTATTTCCTACTAACAATGTCTTGGAACTCAGAGGTTACACCTTTATTGTAGTATAATTTGCTGTCCTACTTTTTCGACAGCGGTAAATCGTTTCAGCAGTAATTTGCATATTGCGCAATAATACTACGGGACTACAACGTTTTTATCAATAATATACGTTCATATTTTAACTTGGATAACTTAATTTGAAATTGAAAAGGCTAAATATGGAAGACATTAAGATATCCAGGACAAAGTATGGGAGTTTTGAAGGATCAAATTCATGAACTATTTCTTGGGCTGTTAATTGGTTTAGGACACATTGCGCGAGTGTAGCCAACGAAATCCCATGTGTAGATGACTTAGCTCTGAACGCGCCTGAGGGCGCGTCCGTCGCAAAAAGGCAACAGTAGGAATCGAACCATAGACCTCTCACACATCAGTCAATCTCTTAACCGGCTGTGCTACAGCCGAAGTATCGATACCATTTACATTTTTAGCAGATATGATTTTCACTAACATTAGTTTTTTATTTTATGCCTTTCAGTGGATTACTGATTTATCCGTGAAAATTATATTTGATAATATCACAGTGAAATTTATCAAAATGTAATTTCACACTTTTCAATGACGAAACTACTTTCTTAAGATTTTCCCCATGTGGTACCTCAATTTTATTTTTGCTGACAATTCTGACAATGTCAGGCTGTTTAGAGAAAAGCAAAGCTGAAATTGATAAATATAACTTAAATGTCAAAAGTAATAAAAAGAAGAAAACTTACTTCTGTTCATCCAAATTACCAATCAGCAAATATCGTCACTTAATTTTTTTGTTTCATTTTAACAATCTGAAAAATACACTTCTTCCACATGCAAAACATCTCTTGATGACATTTGGGCATATTTAAGTTTCCAACGAGCAATAAATGCCGTATGCTTTATGAAAACTTGAAAAGCAATGACAGCCATCAGCCCGAAGAATAAGTAAACAACCAAGCGTTGGCAAGGCAGCCTTTCAACAATTTTAAGTTTCCAATTTCCTGGCCACTTCTTAAATGTTAACACCATCTGTCTCAACATACTTTGTTTGTCTATTTACAATACTCAAGATAAGTTTTTCCTTTTTTAAAAAACACGGCTTGTGTATATGAAATAGGGCAAAAATTCTCCAAATGATTGAGTATTGTAACAGGACAATCATCAACTTAGCTGTAATCAAAACCACAATTATTTTTCCTCCCGTAAAATTAACACAACTTTTTAAAAAATGGCCACCCTCCTTTACCATTTTAAACAGAGCCAGGTCTAATATTAATTTTTCGCAGTTAAATAACAGAAATATGGATGGATTTGGTTGGACTTTTTCTCCTTCTAAAATTGTTTGTTCTTATTATTTAAATAAGCGCTCATTTATATTTTTTAATAAAATGAATAATATCATCGCCATTTATCGTTGATTGTCGAACTTATTTTAAAGCCCAAGACTTCTTGTATTTTATGAGAAATTCGACTTATATATTGTACATAATATAGTGGGAAAAACAGATTTTAATATTAAAGTTGATATCAAGGAAATTTCGTTTTAACTTATTTTTAAGCATAAAATAAAAGAAAATGTGTTTGTTTATTGTATCAGATGTAATTTTATTTCATCTCGTGAACTTTAAAAACAGTATTCTCGCTCGTGTCTACGTCACTCGTGGGAATACTGTTTTAAGCCCACTCGATGAAATAAAATTTCATCTTACACACAAACAAACAAATATCCTCTATATACTCCATATTAATTCTCGTAAACTTTACTAACGAAATTGAAGTGAAATCTAATATTTCAATGAGTGCTGTAATGTATTCTTAATTGACAGGTCAATAAAATAAGACTATACAAAATAAGCAATTAGGCTGTGTATACAAACAAATAAAATATTGCTGTTCCAACATGCAAAAGCGGGATTAAGTATGCGCAAAATCAGCACAAAATCTTTTTAAAGGCGACATGTGTCACATTATAAAATGTATCTATAAAATAAAAGATAGCACCTTTGTGAAGCCTTTTCTCCAGAAACTAACTAAAAACATAATAATTACATAATTGCACGTATTTTTTTTTAAAAATGAATGAAGGCAGAACAAAATTTTAAGAATATAAGCTTGTATTATGTTTATCCTACTTAAAACATTATCAGGATCAAAAACTCCTTTTGTAACCCAAATATCTACGACATATCTACGAGATTGAGTGTTGAGCAAACTAGGTAGAAAATATCTAACTTTACAAATCCTACTTTTTTACTTTTTTTACCTGCTGAAATGTTGAAATAAATAAAGAGCTGTTTTCAGAACATTACACATGTAAGTTGCATGTAAGTTTTTTGTGTGTTGTTTTGTTTGTATTTCAGTTTTCTGCCGAAAATAATATCTGCATAATTCATTTTTTGATTCAATTATGACTGCATAAAGGTATACGATGGATAATCGATAGTATTAAAAAGTCATCTTCAACTTAGAAGTGTATACTTTATCACATTCTTAACAAAAATACAGAAAACAACAAATGTTTACCATCTTGTTTAAAAATAAGTGGCGATTTAATTTGAAATTTAAAGTTAAAGTAAAAAAACAACAACAACACTAATAACCACGCCATATTTTCATCAAGTCATAAAATGTCTGAAAACAGGGCAGATTGCTACGTGTGCTTGCTTTACCGTGGCAGCTCTCGAAAATTTTAGAATTCAGTCACGGTTTTGAGAAAATTCTACAAGAAGATTATTACATCATTTGATATACATTAGAATTCCGGGTACCCTCCAATAAATTTCCAGGATATCTTAAAGTAACAGCAAAGTTATCTATAAAAATATTACTTGTAATAAATCGAGTAATATTTTCTTTGACCATATATAAAAGTCACGTGGGTTGGCTACATAGTAGAGGTGTTAAAATATAATTGTAATACACCCTTTGTTAGCCATTGAAATAGTATTAAATGTATAAAGGACTTTCAAAAATGGTTATTATTCAGAGCGGGCGCTATTGGTGCAGTGGTAACACTTGTCTGCCTTCAAATCAAGGGGTCGTGAGTTCGATCCCCCGCTACTCCACTGAACGAATGAATGACTACAAGACTGACAAAACCAGGACTTCGACACAGAATGACGTCAACGATAGATACAAGAAAAGACCTTAACGGATCAGGAAACACGTACCAAAAGTACAAGACCGAAGACGACGACTGATAACAGAAGGAAGAACGGGTACAAGAACTGAGAAACGGGCACCGATAACAGAAGAACAGAAAAAGTGACCGATAACAGTAGAACTGACAACAAACAAACAGAGAAAGCGACCGATAACAGAACAGGACAGGGACCGATAACAGAAGAACTGACAACAAACGAACAGAGACAAGCACCGATAACAGAAGAACGGAGACAGGGATCGATAACAGAATAACTGACAACAAACGAACAGAGACAAAGACCGATAACAGAAGAACTGACAACAAACGAACAGAGACAAGCACCGATAACAGAAGAACGGAGACAGGGACCGATAACAGAATAACTGACAACAAACGAACAGAGACAAAGACCGATAACAGAAGAACATCATGACAGGGACCGATTACAGCAGAACTGACAACAAGACAACGGAGACGAGGATTGATAACAGAAAAAAGTGACGGGAACCGATGACAGAGGAATTGACAACAAGTAAAAGTAGACCAGGACCAGAAGAAAAGAGACGGGAACCGATGACAGAAGAACGGAGACGAGAGCCAATAACAGAAAAAAGAGACGAGGACCGATAACAGAATAGACCAGGACCAGAAGAAAAGAGACGAGAACCGATGACAGAAGAACGGAGCAGAACGAAGACGAGAGCCGATAACAGAACAGTACAGGGACCGATAACAGAAGAACTGACAACAGGACAACAGAAACGAGGACCGATAACAGAACATCTGACAACAAAAGAACTGAGACCAGAACCGATGACAGTGGAACGAAGATCACGACCGATAATAGAAGAACTCACAACAAGAGAACTGCAACGAGGACCGATAACAGAAGAACGTAGACGACGACCGATAACAGGAAAACCCAACCTCCACACGACCCAGCAACACAGGACCACGGGCAAGGATAAAAAAAACAAAATAAAAAATTAGGGGCACAAGGGGGAACGAGAAAACGACAAGATGGGACACAAAAGTGTCACCATAATAGTATAAAACAACAAACAAGACATAAATCAGAGGAGTAATAATGCTGATTCAAGAATGGAAGAAGGAGTATCGGATATGGTCTATGTTCTTGATATTACTCGCTGTTTCGGAATACTGGCATTAATCTTAGAATTTTACAAAATAATACTGATTCTGGAATGCTTTAAACCATTAACCATTAAACGTTTTTTGTTGTTGCCATTATCTCGACATACATATATCCAAATTAAAACTTAATCCTAATTTAACAGCCAATGCTTGAATCAGTATTATTTTGTAAAATTCTAACAGTAATGCCAGTATTCCGAAACAGCGAGGAATATCAAGAACATAGACCATATCCGATACTCCTTCTTCCATAACATACAGATAATATTTCTTGAAAAAAGTCGATTGCCACAATAAAAGCAATTCCAAACCATGTTAAGTTTTTATGTAATTAAAGCTGTAATTATAAAATAATCGTTTTCAATGTTGGAAGATTCATTCAAAACATTATCTGTTATTATCAGTATCTTAATATTCTGGTCGTTTAAATCTGTTTCCTTTTATACTAAATTACTTAATGTACTGAAATCAATGATCCAAGAAATATCACAACACTGAAGTTAAGTACGGGGCATTTTTTACGCACTTGACTCCTGCAGTTGCGAATTATAAAAATCCGATAAAGTACCTTTCAAAAAGATATTTCCCACTATTCTTTTGTTTAATGGGGGACCCTTCAGACATGTTGTTATCAGTTATGTGTTCGATTAGAGGGAGGAAGTTTTAGCCATAGCCGATACGCTTAATTTCTGACTTTTATCTATATTAGTTCCTTTAGAACTCCTTAAGCGTGAAGAAAAATGTAAATCACAATATATATACTGTCCCTCTGTTGCACCATGTTACCCTAGAAAGAAAAATACCATAAAACCCCTTTACTGTGCTAACCAGCAACGTTTAGTCACTAAATTAATTTCCTTTCGTTACGTGAATGGCATACTTCTTAATATATCGATCAATAGATTAACACATCAGTACGAATGCTCAACCTCAGAGCTGCATGATGCTGCCGCGTCCTTTCTCTCTAATGCACGTCGTTGGGAGACATAGGACATCAGGAAAGATTTTTGAAGAACTTCAGTTGGCAAAAAAATGAACTAACTCGATAACTTGTACCTGCGGACCAGTTGCAGATGTCTTGACAGAATCCGAGGGATGTCGACCTACAAAACAGTCCGAAGAGACTGCTTGGACGACGGCGTCGACCTTTGCTGGCTACAACAGCCCTTATCAGGACTTACCTCATTCATTATATATTTCACATGTTACTGTACGTTTAGGTGATTATTGACCTCTGTACAGTGACCTACCTTCCGCTCAACATTCAGTCTATACATATGCCACTTCCTTTTTACGAGAATTCTACGAGAACGGTAGAACCTGTTCACATTTCAAAGTTAATAAAAAACGATCATTTTACAGGTTTTTAAATCCTCTCCCGTATCATATCCTTTGATTTACATTTTAGGACTCCACATTCACCCTACACTTCATCATGGCTAGTATAGATATAAATATTCTGGTCGACGGATTGAGAAAATCGTTTATTATAAAAAAAAACATAACAGTAACATGCTTGATTGAAACCGTTGCTGGTCCTCTTGCAAATTTATGGTATGATTACAAAGGGCACCAAAGCTGTTTGGTGCAATCACAATGTTTTTTACGTAATTTGACACACTACTCATTTGTAGGATGCTACGTCCTTCCCACAGCTCCTTTTCTAGTGAATATATGTAAGTTGTTTGGCATTTGAATGAGTGTCAAGCAACGTTACAATTACTTTAACATCCTTCATCTTATCTTAAGTAAGCATATAAGTTTAAAGGAGGATATTTGTCCATACTTGAAACATGATAATACATCATTGTTATCAAAACTTACAAAACGGGTCAAGCAGATTAGATAACTCTAGCAGAGCTCTTTTGTATAGAGGTATTTCTTTTTTATGAGTAAACCATATCTAACAATGTCGAACCTGGGACAAAAAATTGGTTGAACGGTTTGTATTTAGATCTTACTGAGTTTAGCACATTTTCTCATTAACTGCAGGGATAGAAACAGGGAGATTGACCAAGCCAAAATTTAAGTACACCTTAAATGCTAGAACATGTCTTGTCTTGTTATGTCAAAGAAGACGAATACCATTTTGTATTAGACTGCAATATGCTTATAATTATCTAAGGAAACTCATGACACCTGCATATTGCTGAAAACGTACAAATGTGTTAAAGCCTTTGCATAAAGAAAAGAAAGTTTAAACAGCCTTTGCGACAAGAAACAGAAATGGTGTCGACTCCAGGACTGTATCGAATTAGGACAGACGGTGATAAAAATATCGGTCGAATCCTGACTCGCAATAAAAAAGATAATATTTAGTGTTCAATCATTTTAATATGTGAGTACTTTTGACTGCCATTTTTTTCTTTGAAATTTACTCAGGGAGGAAAAGGAGTTTTTTATGTTGTTGTTGTGTGTTTTTTTTAGTAAATACCATAGTGTGACGAGCTTTTTCAACAACTGAGAATTTTTCCGCGGAAAAAGTTCCTTTCTGTTATCTAGTAAAGCCTACAGTAGTTGCTTCCCTTTATAATAAAACCCCATTTGCACTATAATACTAAAACTTCCGGGTTGTAAATCGTGACTAAATTGAGAAGTGATTTATGATGAGGAATTTAATGTTACACATGGAGTAAGCAACTGACTGGTATTGATTTATCATCTCGTAAGCTACTGCAGTTTGATCTGGTAAGTTATGTTGCATTATGATCAAATTTTAATATGAATTAGATCTAACAGATAAAAAAAGAAAGAAAAACAAACTGTGCCTGGCCTCTTAGAAATAATTATTATTATGGTAAATAAAAATGATTTAGTTAGAATCAAGTTGCTGAAACAGTTAAGTGATGAATTTATTCTGTATTGTTGTATAGTATTATTTGTTAAAAAAGTCATGATGGCTGATTGATGACATGTCAATTATAAATGATGAAAACAAATCGATAGTGAAAATTACCCCCCCCCCTCTCCCCATACATCTGTATTATTGTACACAATTTACAAATTGTTAGAATAAGTGATTGTAATTCTGTGTTGATAAATGAAGTGTCAAAACTTTTTTTGTTAAATACATTGAATACTTTAACTAAAAGACCCTACCCATTCCTAAAAAAGATAAATGAAAAAATAAATAAACTATTATAAAGCCCTATTAAAAATATTAAAAAACAAAACAACATAAACCTGACAGTAGCCAGATAAAATATATCCTGGATTCCCGCCCTTTTCTCAACAGGACTATATACTTTGTAACTTGACATGTTCTTTTTTCACAATTGATAGATTTTAAGCAGTTTTAAAGTGTGTTTTTAACAAGGGCAAACTTTAGATCACTGGCTGAATAAAATTCACAAAATCAAGAGGTAATTTTCTTAACTTTTCATCTTACATTTGAATCTCTTTTATAATTAGTCTACACCTAAGCTATATTCATACTTTCACTTTTATGTGTACCTGGGGATTACTGTATAGAGTGTGCATGTGTGGGTTTTTAAGGGATGTCATAAATTAATAATCAAGGGCTCTAGCTCTCTCTCTCTCTCTGTTTTGGGGCACTAGTATTGTATCTGCACTTGGGGGGATTTTACAGCATTTTCCCTTGTAGAGGGAATTTTAGGCCATTTTTTGCTGCATGTAAAGTACTCATGTTGTTATTATTTACATATTTTATTTTTCAAATCACAAATTTAAGGGTTTCCTGCTTCTATCAGCAAATACATGCAGTTAAAATTATAAAAAAAATGTTTAAGGGGAATTCCTTGTTTTAAAAATAGGGGAACAATATAAACAATTTTTAGAAGGGAATGGTGCCCAATTTTAGCATAAAATCTGAGAATTGAGAGCCCTGTAATCCATTTGCAGAGGTAGTTTTAGAAAGGTAACCTTATTGAAATAAACATCTCATAATTTGATGAAAAAGTAGCTGAAGTTATAAGTTATTATCTACTGTAATTGTAACATATCTGACAGCCTTAAATAAAAGCAAATTGGAATTAATTATTTCTTTAAAATCTTGTCCTTCTTCAAAGTGTATGTTCAAGATTTTTTTATAATTTTACATTAGGCATGCACAAAAGAGCTATCATGCAATGATGGAACCAATTTAAGTTTAAAATTACTAATTTTTAAAATCATAAATTTAAGATGAGGATAGATAAGTGGTTTGAAAGAAAAATACTATGTGTGTTACAGTAGTTGTAGACAATACATTAAGTATATAAAGGTAGATATAAGTTACTCTTGATTACTACCTTAAGTGTATGATTATTTGATATTCTGATACTAATATTCTTGTATTATTGTTCAGGACCAGTCATTTAGTGTGATATTGCAGTATGGCAAAAGAGGAGTCGTTAGACTGGAAAGAGCAGTATGAGGAGACACTGACAAAATTAAAACAACTAGAGGTTGAACAGAAAGATGGTAAGTTTATTTATTTGTATTTAATCCTCAGAAATATCAAATATAAATATGAGCCACACTAGTGACTTGAAAATTAGATGAATTCTATGAATATTAATATATAATTTGCACTTAAAACTTAGTTGAATTCTGTAAATATTGGGTATCTAATTTGTACTTAAAACTTTAATAGTTGAATTCTGTAAATTTACGTATATAATTTTCGGTGAAACTAAACACCATTCAAAGAAAAAAGGCATCAACTTAGTGCAATAATGGGTTAAGGCCTATACAAATTTAATAGGAGTAAACCCGTTACTGCACTAAGGTTAGGGTAGGTAGAAGAAATGAAACTTGAGATTTGTAATTCTGAGATTTTTGTCTTGTCCTTATAGACACTATATGACTGTTTCAACTTTCATGGTACTAACTGGTGCTGATTGAAGAGTTCATAAAGTAAATTAACAAAAAAACTTCCAAGCTGGTTGATACTGGTTATTCAAGAAACAAAAATGATACGGAATATTGATAGAATTTTTTGTTCTTTTTGGAAAGCTAATCAATATTGAGTGACCATTTATTATGCTGCCATTTAATTATGTATCATTGAATGATATGTTTAAACTTTAACGATATTGACATGGTTAAAACAATAAGACTACAAACACGGAAACTTGTCTTTTCTTATAAATTCTACTAACAATACTTTTATTAATGATAAGTATGAATAGTGTATGTTTCCACAAGGAAATTAATAACCTTGTTTTCAACATTCGTGTAGATATTTATTGATATTATTGAATTTTTTGGAAATTTATAACATGTTAACTTATACTTTTAAAGTGCTTTAATGTAAAATTTAAAGTGAAAGTATCATAATATTAGAATGTTGAAAACCCTGTTAGATATTCAATTCAATACATCATTTGGCATTAAAGTAGGTTGGTCTGCAATTGAAACATTATTTATAAGTGTTGTAAATGTTGATAATTTAAAAAAAATCATAAATGTATCATTCAAATATTCTTATGAAATATTTCTGAAAAAAATGTTTATAGAGTTATAAAGTGATTTAATATGAATATAAAATATGATGCATAATAAAATTTTGTTGTAGAACAATTAAGTGTCCCTTAAGGGGAGAGGTGGCCTAGTGGTTAAGGTGTCTGCCTCTCAACCCAGAGATCATGGTTTCGAGCCCTACTCGGGTCACGACCATGTTTCTGACCTGAATAGGGAAATTAGCAAAATGATAACAGATAGTGTATGACTAGTTATTTCAAATCCTTGCTGTAAATAAAAACACATTAATAAGTTTTTTTGTCGGATGCAACTATATACCGTTTGAAAAAACATGACCTGAATAGGGAACGCAGCTTCCCATACATAGTTTATTCATTCTTTTTTTTAATAAGACATATTCAGTTAGAATTTCATATATTTCAATAAATTTCTGTGATTAGAAATATTTTACTCAAGGACGAGCATACTACATCTTTAATTGAATGGTTTGAGGTTTATAAATGTACATGAAAGAAAGAAACAAGATTTTATTGTAGGCATATAGATGTTAATGGTATTTTCATGTACTCTTAAAACATATAAACCACTCTTGTTTTACAAAAAGGAAGAGCTTTGATAAAGTATAACCTTTTTTAAAAATATTTTTTTGGGTTTGGATAAATAAGAGATTTTATAGGATTTGAATTTTCATGAAACGTAATTCTAAGTTTAAACCGTTTATTTATTCACTCATGAATATGTAACTGCTAGTGATGTTTTTTTGGAAGTATAAAATTTCAGTATATTTAATTTATAACTTGACATTTTACCTGTAGTTACAGTTATAAGTCTGTTATGTGTTTACTTTTAACTGTATTACACTCCCTTAATTGTTTTATGCATGTACGCTTCATAATGTAAGGCAAACATTTTTACATTTTTTTTAAATTTTACATATATGGTGCTTCTGATATCAAATCCTTAACCTGTTGAAATTTTATGTCCCTACTTTTTTATGTCCCCACTCTTTAATGTCCCAACTTTTTAAGAGGAGAGTGTACTGTAAAGGGGTTGCCCATCCATGATTAAACATTTGGGTTTTATGTAGCTATCTAGGAACAATAGAAAATAATTAATTTTTTTTTGATGTTGTGTATTGTCTCAGAGTTAATTATTACAAAAATAGTTTTATGTAGCTAAAAAGACCCATAAACTGATTAAAAATCTCGAGAAAGAATAAATCTTAGTTAACAGGTAGAGGTATCATGTAACTTAGTAAGGACATTGCATATGGCCAGTAGATGACCCCTATAGATTATTAGGTCAATAAGTTAACAGTCAGGTCACAATGACTCCAAATATAGAACCCTTGTCAGTTCAATAAGGGGTGATATATTTACTTAACTTGGTAGAGACATTCCCTGTGGCCAGTAGATAACCCCTATTGTTTGTAAGGTCAATAGGTCAAGGTCACACTGATTCTAAATATAAAACCCTTTTCTGATCAATCTCTGGAGAAGGAATAAGCAGAGATATATTTACCTATTAAAATTTGGTAGAGACATTTCCTGTGGCCAGTAGGTGATCCCTATTGATTTTGAGGTCATTCATTGAAAGGTCAAGGTCACAGTGGCACTTAAAAAGCTATATGTAAAAAATATCCTTTCTTGATCTTTAACTTAAGAATAAGAATAAGAATAAGCCTAAGTTTGTTAAATTTGATAGGGATATTGCCCCTCATCTGGTAGAAGACCCCTAATAATTTTGAGGTCATTAGATGATCATGATCTGATTTGTCTTTTCAATACCTAGAATTTTCTCAGTCATAGGTTTGTGAATTTTATTACTTATATTACAGCTTTTAACTTTAATATAATTATGTTACATATAATTATAACACTTGACCTTTATGAAATATACAGAAGTATGTAAATAATTCCACTGTGAAAGGCAATTGAAGTGGCAGCATCTGTGTCTACTGTCTTATAGATAGATTTGAGCCGCGTCATGACAAAACCAACATAGTGCTTTTGCGACCAGCATGGATCCAGACCAGCCTGCACATCCGTGCAGTCTGATCTGGATCCATGCTGTTCGTTATCAGTTTCTCTACTTGTTATAGCATTTGTAAGCAAACAGCATGGATCCTGATCAGACTGCTCGGATGCGCAGGCTTTCGCGGATGCGCAGGCTGGTCTGGATCCTGATGATGCTGGTCGCAAACGCAATTTACATTGGTTTTGTCGTGGCACGGCTCATTTAAAGTTGTCATGGATTTCCCCAGCTTTGTATTTGGAACAGTGCATTTTTAGTTTAGGGATTTCATTGTCAACAAATAAAATTTGAGTTACTAACAGTATAGAGCCTGGTCAGACTACATGGATGCGCCGGCTTGCGTCAGCTGTGGCTCTATTCAGGTGGCAAAGACTAATCACTTTTAGTACCAGTAGGGTATTTGAGTTAAAAGTAATATCCTTTCCAATTCACAGCTGTTTGACTGTTATAAATTAGTTAACAGGTGATATGCTTGTATTGCTTTAAATTTGTCAGGATCATGTTTTGTTTTGTACAAAACTTTTATAATGTTTGGCAAAGTATCTGTTACATAATTTGTATTATGAAACAACAGTGTTTTTGTGTGCATGTAGTGCTGACTTTTATTTCCAATTCCATTATTGTTATGGATGATAACTTAGTAAGTGACATTGAAATCTTTCATGCAGTTAAAATCAGTAAGTAATAATCCAGATGGCTTATAGAGTGTAAGAAGTACCACTTACATATGTAGTTGCCTGAAAAAAGAAGCACCAAGAATCTTCCTCCAGCTGTAATGCTGCATATTCACCATAATCACTTAAAGGCCCATTAAGTCTCAAAATGCTATATAATTTTTATTCCTCAAAAAGATTCAGTGGTTCTACTCAGGTGCTTGCTTGTGCATGAAATAATGCACTGAGGGGCATCTGAGGTCTTCCTTCACCAGTAAAGCTGGCAAGACGCCATATGATCTTTACTGTGTTGGTATCACGTAAAACCCAACCAAAAAAAATTTGAATTTTTCTCATGGTGACAAGAATCTCACATGGTCTAAATCTGTTATAACAACATTGTAAAACACATACTTCACCTTTCCACTGATTGAAAAATTTATTCATTTCTGACGTAATTTCGTGCCTTTTAATAAAACTTTATGGAAAAAAAATGAAACAATGAAATTAAATTGCAGACTTATTCTCTTCTTTATGTTTATAAAGGGTAGACTAAGAAGTGTCTGTAATAAGTGAAATATTTTGTATCTAAATTGAATGTTTAATCTTTGTTTATTAGATGTATATTTCCTATTATTAACTTAAAAGGATAATGTAGATTTTGTTTGTGAAAGTAAAAAGAAAGAATTTGTTGTAATAAGATGCATTCATATGAAACTTAAGAACAATGCTATTGAAAATAAATAATCTTTTTTATAAATACTGTATGAAATGAATGATAACAGGTATAACTTATTTTTAATTGATACAGACTGGTAAGTAAAGAATCTATATGAAACTTATATAACTATGTATGAAAATGTATGAAACTTATTACTATATATGAAAATGTATGAAACTTATTATTACATTCGGAAATTTATGGAACACATTTGAAACTGTATGAATCTTACTATTTCTTTTTATGAAAAAGTTTGAAACTTACTTTTACTTTATATGAAAATGTATGAAACTCACTTTTATTTTATATCAAAATGTATGAAACTTAATTTTTTTTTAATATAGAAATATATGAAACTTACTGTTTCTTTGAATTTACATATGAAAATGTCTGAAACTTACTTTTACTATAATTATGAAAATGTATGAAACATACTTTTACTGTATATGAAAATGTATGAAACTTACTTTTAATACATATGAAAATGTATGAAACTTACTTTTAATACATATGAAAATGTATGAAACTTACTTTCACTGTATATGAAAATGTATGAAACCCTTTCATACATTTAAAAATGTATGAAACTT